TTTCTTCACACTGGCTTTCTTTTTAAGCACACATGCAGTGGATTGTTTGGGTTTCTGTATATAAAACGTCTTTTCTGAATACTTTAGGGGCTGTAGAGATGATCTCTTCAAGAATGGATACGATCATAGCATATTGGACTTTGTTGGTATAAAAGTGATGAAGAAAGCTGAAATACAGCTCTTGTTGGAATCTTCATAATATGTAGTCAGTTCTTTGGAAAAGCACTGTCTGAAAGTATATGTTCCAGCTCTTCTTTCCTCTCATGTTTCATGCTACTTGAGGTAACCTTGTACAAAGTTGAGAGAATTGGAGTTTTTTTAAAACAACAAGGACCAGTGTTCTACAGTCCTGGTGGCTGCTCCCAGTCACCAGCCTGGCAGCCACATTCAGGATTAATTGTAGTTTCCAAATCATTTCAAAGATGGCCCCATGCTGAGTGTATTGCAGTAGTCCAAGTGGGAAATAACCAAAGCATGCACCACTCTGGCAAGACAGTGCTGTAGGCAGGTAGGATCTCAGATGGAGTACCAGATGGAGTTGGTAGTCTCCCTCGACAGAACCATCTTGTGAACTTCTAAAGAAGCGGGGATTGCTTCCTCTGAAAAAGAGGTATAATCTGAGCTAGATTTAGTGAGGCACAAGGGGTAATGAAAAGGGGTTGATCCATGGTGCTCTTAACAGTAGGTGCCCAGCCAGAGAGTGAATTATTTACATGGTATTATCAACAGAAAGCTTCCACTGGAATGTGCATCTTCAGGCTTTTCCTTTTTCAAAAGTGTATAAATCATCATACAAGTCAGTGACAGCTCCAGAACCCTTCTGTAAGGGGATATTGACCACAAAGAAAGCTACCGTTCCCATTATACGGGTGAGATTGATGCTGCATGTCAAAAATAGGCATTTGGTGCCTCTTACGTTATATCAGCGTTAAAACATTGCAAATCTAAGCTGCTTTCAGACACAAGCTTCTGTCAAGTGTGGCACTATGCATGGTGGAATGCTCCCAACACCTGGGAAATGGCAGTTGTTAGATTTGGTCTATACAACCTTGGATCAATACAAATTTCTTTGGGAAAGTGGTGAGACCCATCACTCTGGGATAACACAATAGCATTTTAGGTGCATTTATGCTTTGCGTAAATCAATAGCAGCAAGGTTCTCTGTGTGCAATGCTCAGAGGTACTGCAGTACGTGGTGCTGGAGAAGAGCTCACAAGGCTACCTAAGAAGTGTGTCTAAATGAACAAGGTGCGCATGTAAAGGCAGAGTTGTAATTCATCTTCAGTGCCATAGAAAGAACAGTCTTCTACTGTTACTTCTGATGGAACTGTTAACTGCAAAGTATGGAGGGGTTAAGACATTGTTGATGTAAATGTTTGTGTCCTGTTGCAATATATCTTTGCAGTCTTGGAATTGTGTGGTACAAAATCCAGAATGTTGGATCCAGTCTGCCCAGTTCCATGAACGGAAGGGCTCACTCTAGTTGTAACTCCCCACTGGAGCAATGTGTGATTTTTGCAGATTCCTCCTTCTGCAGGTTCCCCCAATACCACTTCTGTTGTGCTGGAAGGCCCCCCAGTGTAGCAGCTTGTCATCTTACTACCATTTTAACCTGGTCATCTTGCACTAGCAGAGACCCATGGAGCCTCTAACAAGACATTGCAACATGAGGTGCTGCTGTTCAGGATTCCAGCTGCTGCATTCTACTCCTCCCTTGGGGTCCCCCCCCTTACAGACCTTTTGTAGTGTTTCCAAATTCTGGGTTCCCCCAAGTCTGCTTACACTCATCCCTTGTGCATTGGTGGTCAGTTTGGTTATGCAAGGACTGGCAGTTGGAACTGGGAGCCCTGTAACAATATGTTGCAGTATGAAGTGCTTTTGTTCAAAGTTCCAGTCACTCCATTCTATAGTCCATAGTTCCCTTTCCCCACGAGCATGCACTGTTCTCACTAGGCAGCTTTGAACACACACACACACACCCCGGTGCTTTTGGGTGAGGTTAGCACACACATCCAATTCCAGCTACCTTAAAATGTTCAATTTCTCCACCGATTTATGTGAATAGCTCTCACTTTGTCCTTGCGAACATTTAAAAATAGCTTCTCATTGTTAAGCAGGACTATCCAGACAATGAGCTGATTCTGTCTACATTGTGATAAGTCTCTTCCTCAGCTTTCATTTTCTAGTCACTGCATGCCTTTCCCCCTCCAACCTGTTTTCACACACACACGACTCCATGCCCTCTTAAGTCCTCATTGGGCTGCTTCTGGGGTTCCCCCTCTTAGGATTTTTCTAGTTATTTCCCCCCTATTCCTGCAAACCTCTGGGTCTCTCTCTCTCTCTCTCTCTCTCTCTCTCTCTCTCTCTCTCTCTGTGTGTGTGTGTGTGTGTTTATGCAGTTTTTGATAAATCTGGACAACTGGGAAAGATGTGAATTGGAAATAGAGGGAGTGATAATGGAACCAACTGTAACAAAAAGTGTAAATCCTTCAACTTGGTAAGCTCTGTTTTAAGGACCTGCTCTTAACGATCAGTTTATTCTTGGAGAGCAACCCATGAGCTCACTTCAAGAGATTTAAAGGCTCAAAGAAAACCATAGTTTGGCTTTAATCTCCTACCCTAGAAAGAACAAGAGGCAAGCTAACTGGTGATGGAACTATGATCCTTAAGTAATGTGGTTTAAAACTCCCATCAGCCCAAAGCAGTGTGGCCAATGAGTCAGGGATGATGAGTTTCCGTCTGAAACCTCTGGAGAGGTTGGCTAGCCCTGCTCTAGAGAAACACAGTGACCAAGGTATGTCTTGGGAGTAGGCATCAATATCACAATAAACTGACCTGGTGGAACAAGTTTTCAGGTTTGGAGCGACCTGGAATGGCTTGCTTTGTCAAAATGACAATTTTTATAACAAGGCAAAGTAGAAATCTCAGAATTTTGCAGCCATAACAGGTCAAACCTGCCTTAAGTTACTACTCATTACTACTATAAGAGCCTCACCTGCCTTACCTGAGGACACCCAATAATTGGAATTTTCTTTCAAGGAATTAGTAGCAGTGATACTCTGTCAACAGGAGTCAGCTGAAGTTGTGCAAAAGTTGCCAGGTGCCTATGATTAAATAGCTGCAGAACTCATTTCATGTCTGCAAGAAAAATGAAGGTTTCTTCTCTACTGTCACAGAGACTGAGTTGTTCCATTGAGATCTTCACCATATGGCATTTCATACAAGCATTTAGAAATTGCAAATTAGGAATAGCAAATGTTAAAGAAGGCGGAAAATTGAGAGGGAGCATGCTGTAAAGGTAAGATTGTTTTAGTAAACACATTTTACTGTGGAAGATCTTATAAGCTAGGCAATGCTGGTGTCTATTGGAAACTATTGGAAACCTGTTTCAGGTTTCCTACATTGAAAATGTATGGAGAATCACTTGAAAATGCATGCATAGGATTTGAAAATTAAACCATGTTTTTAGCTCTTTACTTTTTAATTAATGCAATGAACTCTGAATCTGCATTGGTTCATTCATTTATTTCTGGCAGTACTGATTCATTCTCCCTGTTTCTTTGTTAGTGCTGCTACTGTTGGGGGGGAGGGTTTATTACACAGAAAACATTGTTTTGGGTAGATTTTTATTATTGCTACAATGGAAACTGCAAATAATCACTACACTTTAGTGTCTAGAGCTACCTTTCCATGTGTGAGATGAGGAAGAGATGATGGCAGTCTTAATAACCTGTAGAAGATGAGAGGCAACTATTATGATGGTATTATGCTACTACCATAATAGCTGGCTATAAAGTGATGCTTTTCTGAAGATACTCAGTGGATATCTGTTAATAATTGTATCTTTTGTCACTTTAGTATCCTATCCTGGTAGTGTGTTATTCTTACCACAACCCTTTTAAGAATTGGGGCCTTATTTTTCCTGCATCTAAACCCAGTAGCCTAGACTGTGTAGGGAAATCATTACACAATATCATGATGTTGATTTAGATACATCCTCAGACAATGAACTGTGTCGGTAAGATGGTGGACCTCAATGCCTGTGCTGGACTTCAGGTTTTCCAGTCTCAAAATAATTACCTCTAGGCTTGAGAGGCAAGGGCAATGCATCACATCCACATTCTTCATGGACTGTGGACAATGGATGCTTGCTGTGCAATGGAGTAGGAGGCAGGGGGCTTCTACTTGAGAAGAGCCAACAGCCAGAAAGTCCCACTGGGATCAAACATCTCCCTCACACTCCTCTGCATTGCAACCTGTTTGGTTTTTTAATTGGGAGCTTCATACACATTCAGGATTGTGTCCAATGAAAACACCCTGATAGAACAAGGACTTTGACCTGCACAACAGGATTTCCTCTCCACATGTCCCCACATCTGTTCTAGGGGTTCCCTCAACCCTTGGGAGCAGATGGGGGCACACGGGGAGAAGTCTGGCTGCATAGGCAGAATTCCTTGCCTAAATGGGCTAACTTGGCTACAGCCCACAGTTCTCTGAAACCACTTTTGATATACAGTGGTACCTCGGGTTACATACGCTTCAGGTTACATACACTTCAGGTTACAGACTCAGCTAACCCAGAAATAGTGCTTCAGGTTAAGAACTTTGCTTCAGGATGAGAACAGAAATCGTGCTCCAGCGGCGCGGCAGCAGCAGGAGGCCCCATTAGCTAAAGTGGTGCTTCAGGTTAAGAACAGTTTCAGGTTAAGTACAGACCTCCAGAACGAATTAAGTACTTAACCTGAGGTACCACTGTACATTCTCACTGTATTCTAGATGCGGCAACTTTTTAACTTGTGTGACTGAGCTAGTGCAGCAATTACTGCCTCATATTTATGCTGGAACCTAAATAAGGGACTTTGTCCTCATGAACTTCCTCATTCTAGGTTTCTCATGAAGGTGGTGAGGGGATTAAGGAAGGCCTGTTGTGCTATATCCTATCATGCCTACTCCCATTAAGTTTAAAGCATTCCTGGATAAGATGTTACACGAATGCGGCCTTACTCTCCGAAAGAATCACAGTCCATGTGTATAGCGTCTAGAGTAAGCTTTCCACCAAAGGGGAATGTCTGTGGTAGAAAAGAGGTTCTTTGGAAAATAAATAATGGGTTTAGATCAGATTCGCCGTTGTCTTCCCCAGTGTCCATAATGGCAGGTGAAATAGTCGGTAAGTAGTCCACTGTTACATTGCCATGTGGACTGGCAAGGTACACTGAAAATTCCTGGCCTTGACTTGGTTCTTCGGGTCCAACCTTTCTGTACAAAGGCAGCAGCTGGTGCTGGCTGGCATCATCTGTCCTGCTAGTGATCAAAGGGTCATAGTCTTTCACAATTGGATCCTCTTCCTGGAAGCTGACAGCAGTTGGCCAGTTGTGGCTCCCTCCTCCTTCTGTGGGTTTGAAGAGGGACACATCCACAGATGGCATCTGTTGCCTCTTCATGAGGATCTCCTCTATTTGTAGAGTTTCAGGCTCTTCAGTGCTGTTCTGGTTCTTTAGGAACTGTGTAGAATAGAAGCTGTGTTCACCCTTTTTGAGGAGATAGGGGAGAAATTTCAGTTAATGCACAAGTATTTTCTACCTTTCCCTAAAAGCAAACTGCTTTTCCATAAAAGCCAGTGATTCTGCACAGTGGCCGGGGACTTGCTACAGCATGTAGCAGGCTATGAAATTTGTGTGTGAGAAATTTACCAGGAACAAAATGTTCCTGGTAAATTTCCTTCCTTTTTCCCTCCTGGCAACTGGGAGTAGCAAAATTATTTGCATCTTCTGCAGTTGTTTCTCTGCTGGCCAGCTATTTAAGGCAGCTATTTGGCTCTTTGCAGAAACTAGCTCATCAGCAAAGAGGTGACACCAGTGACAGGCAAACATACCTCTACAGATGCAAACTCTTTAGTACATGAAGAGTTGGCTGGATCTGGAACAGCTTTCCCTTGCCACCCACAAAGCAGAACAGAAAGCAGTGAGGAAAGCCTAGAAGGAACCAGTACAAAACAATATAGTACTTGCCAATCTATTTGTGAAATACCAATCCAGATAGTTATGCAAGGAGACATGTTTCTAGCACAATATGCTGGGATTTTATACATGATGCTGTTTTCCTTATGTTGATGGGGTCTCTGCAGGGCCAAATGAAGTTAAATGGCTCGGCCTCTATGTCTCTGTTTTATGATAATCATATTCAAGTTTAAAATTGTGGTAATTATGGTTAGCATTCAGCTATGGTCCTTTATCTTATGGGACGCGGGTGGTCTATGGGTTAAACCACAGAGCTTAGGACTTGCCGATCAGAAGGTCGGCGGTTCGAATCCCCACGACGGGGTGAGCGCCCATGGCTCGATCCCAGCTCCTGCCAACCTAGCAGTTCGAAAGCACGTCAAAGTACAAGTAGATAAATAGGTACTGCTCTGGCAGGAAGGTAAACGGTGTTTCCATGTGCTGCTCTGGTTCGCCAGAAGTGGCCTAGTCATGCTGGCCACATGACCCGGAAGCTGTATGCCGGCTCCCTTGGTCAATAAAGCGAGATGAGCGCTGCAACCCCAGAGTCGGTCACAACTAGACCTAATGGTCAGGGGTCCCTTTACCTTTACCTTTATGGTCCTTTATCTTAGGGACTACTGATGCTCCTAAACCTAAGAAACTCCCACCAAAATGTCCCTTATCTATAAATGCAACATACACCACCCCTGCCACTAATTCTGCTTCCTCAACCACATTGTGGCCGCTCACTTTTATTTCTCCTTTTACTTTCCTTCACACTCAAGCCATTCTCTGTGCTGTTTCTTCTTCTTCTTCTTCCAAGAAACTGCTGTATCCATGGAGCCCCTTCGGTTGGACCTTCTACCTGCTAGTACTCTTGGCTGGGGGAGGGTCACATCATGAAGCTGTGTATCTTTTAGTTCTCCTGACATAAGCTGCCTATGAGCCACTATTGGCTCATTAACACTCTCCTGTAGCATAGATTTCCAGAGTATTCCTCAGAGATACACTGAAGTACTGAAATTGTCAAAATCTGATTTATTGATAGCTTGTGAAAGTCACAACATTTTTTATTCTCTTTGGAGTCTTCAGTTTAAAACCTATTGAGAAGCCAACAGGAGATTTGGAGTTTGGGTTTAATGAGCGTAGGGCCTGACTGTGTAACCTGAACACCTTTTTCTGTATGCATTTTTTTTTAATCATTTCTCTTCTTCAGTATACCATTTGCATGCTGTTAAATGTTTAGAAAGAAAGCATTCACTTACATTTGCCTAATGGATGGCACAAAGCAGAGACAGATGGAAAGACCCACAATAATGCAGATTGTTAGAGCAGAACCCCAGCTGGGTGCATCTGTAAGTGCAAGATATCTGTTACTTTAGAAAGACTTATTTATCACAATTATGCCAACTTCTAATGGGAAGAGAGCTTTAAAACATTCTCCAACCTATTGCTAAAAATCAGAGATGCGCTCCTCTGATGCCTTAAGCAATTCTTATGCAGAACTAGTATTATTTCAGATGTATGATGCTGTTCACTATGTTGAGGAAATGGCACAACTTTGTGGCAGAACAAATTATTTGCATGCAGAAGATTCAGTCTTCAGGTAAGGCTGGGAGAGACCCTTGCCTGAAAACCTGGAAAGCCATTGTCATTACAGACAATACTGAGCTAGACAAATGGCTTGATTCAGTATAGGCCAGCTTTTGCATTCCTAATGGTGCTTGATAGGCAGAATTACATCTGAGCCAAGCTGATACATCCACCCACACCGGTGACCAAACTCTTCCCCAAACCTGTCTTCAATGCCAGTAGCTCATCCTGTGGTGTGCAAAGTTGGAAGTGCCTTCAGTGTACTACTATGGAGCCAAAACCTTTAATTCCCCCCCCCCCCCAATAATGACCTTTTATGTAAACCTCTTGTTTGTTTCCTTCAGGGCTCTCTCCAGCTTTTGTGGAAGCTGTCATCCATAAAACATATGCAGCACCAGGCTCTACACTTCTTACAGAGAACGGCTGTCGGGCTGTTCTAGGTATATCTGTTGGGAGCGGGGAGAGGGTTGAAAAGGAAGAGAATGAGGGAAATATGAGTATCAGCTAGTATCAAGTCACAAGTACTTTCTCCCATCCACACCCATCTTTCACCAAGCATTTGCAGTAGTCTACAACTTCAACAAGCACTTCTGAGCTTCTTCATCTGCTGCCAACCATTTCTGCCTAGGGTCTCAGCAGTTAATTTGTTTCTGAAGTGAAACCCAGTGTGGCTCCTGCTTGTGCAGCAGAGATTGTCCTCCTTCCCGTCCCCTCTGCAGCTCCTCCTTGCACATCCCTGAAATCTGCTCCAGAGGATTGGGATCTTCTCCAGAGCGTATTTTGAGGGTGCATCAAGGGAAAAGAAATGAAGTCCCCTTACGCAAGCAGGCACCATCACTGGATGTCTCCCAATATCTTTGCATCCAAAATTTGCTTTCACAGTGATTTCACAGTAAAATGCCCAGCATTAATTAACAAAAGCTAAGCTAAAACAAAAGAATGACAACAGTGTATCGAAGTGATTTGTGCATCTGTTGTCATGTTGTGGGACGGGAGCACCCCTCCCCTCTGTTGAGAAACTTTGCTCCCATTTTTTTCCATAGAGGGACAGCTCCAGATGTTGCAAGGCCCCCATACCTATCACCTTTGACCATGATGGCTGGAGCCAATGGGAGTTGGGAGTTTCAGCAGCATCCGTATGGCCACAGACTTGCCACCTCCAGTAGAGGGATCCAAGCCCTAAATTTTAACAGATACCTACCGTAGACTTTAGGGGCCACCATGACAAATTGCTTTTGCAAGTATAACTTGAAGTGAACAATGCAGCCCAATCGATGATCATCCGGAATTTCCTGCCAGGAGACCAAAATGCTTCTTTCTTTTACTGTTGTGTTAATTTGAGGTCCTTTTAATGGGGCTGCAAAACATGAAATCATCTTGAGAAATCTGAATTGACTATGCTGGGTCTCAAAGGTATGTTTAGGTCTGGAGTGCCTTTGCCCTTACCTTTTGCTGATACATCTTCTGTTGTGGAAACGGCTCTTCCTGCTCTGTTCTGGTAGAGGGCAAACACACTGATTTGATAACAGGTGTTAGGCTTTAGGCTCTCTAGAAAGGACAATAATGGTATTTGATGCAAATCTGTCTATTGTGAGACCGAGTCCAAGCCTAGTTTGAGAAAGCATGGGCTGAACAACACTTGTTATTTAGTCATAGATTGGACATAGGTATAAAGCATGGTTTTTAGAGCACTGCATTTACAAAGCTGCTATTCCTGTGAGTCAGATGGAATGACCCGAATAAACAGGGAACAAAGGAAAATAATAATAATGCTTTAGTGGCGGATTTGTTCTGTTTTGCCAGTCCTGTGAGGCTTCCCCAATGCTATCACATTATTGCTGTCTGGAGGGGCTACAGAACTTCAAAAGCGAAAGGAAAATAAACCACAACTTTTGTGATATAAAAAGTTATGGCATTTCAGCTGGAAGCAATGGGCTATGCACTGACTGGAAAGGAAGCTTTTCCAAACCCCAAAACATTTCCAGTTGCAAACGGTATTGAATGTGGGATCATGTATGCCCACCCTGAGAGCATCATTAGCACAAATTATCCTGAATGTGCAATAATAATAAAAAGGACATGGAGGGAACCGAAAGCTAGCATTGAGTTTGGTAGTAATAAGGTGTTGAGCAGCTTGCTTTTATTAGATGAGCTCAGCTCATTGAGACTGACAGGACGCAAATTCCTCTTTTGCCTCCAGTGACTATGATGAGAGCTGCAGCTCAAAAGAGATAATCTTGTGCCATCTGGAAAAATTGGAAGGCAGAACGAACTATTGTGCAGTGCAAAGCTGCAGCCTAATGTGTGTGGGGGTGAAGCGCTATCCAAAAAAATGTAATTGTCCATCCTTTGCCAGGTGCACAGAGCCAGCCTTCCCCCTAATAAAGCCCACAGGGATGCCCACTGCTCTCCTGTGCAACTTACCTGTTGTTGCTGTGAGATTGGAGACGGGGATTTTGAGCCAGGTTATGGGAGTTCTCAAGTCACTGCTGTGATGGAGCTCTGCCCACTGTAGAACATATCCACTGATAAAAGGGAAAGGTGCAATAGGGGCTTCCCATGCAACAGAGATTCTTCCGTTCCCCAGTGATACAGCAGAAAGATGGTTTGGGGGTGGCAGGTCTTTTGAAAAGTTTTTTTTGGGGGGAGGGAGAGAGAGACCAGGAAAAATATTAAATCCTTAGCTGAGCACAGGAGTACAACATCAGAAATCAAAATTATCCAAGAGTAAAAGTAACTGGAGATGGAATAAGAACTGGAACTAAGCAATATGGATTAAGTCTAGACTATAATAAATCATGTTTTAGTTCTGTTGATCATGGCTAACTTGTCCCATCGATTTCAAGTGGGACTAAATCAGAACTTTCTTAGCCTGGACCCAAGTGTAATTCTAAGTCATTTGTGTAGCATTGATAACAAATACAGTAACAACAATAATACATTATTTATAAAGCACCTAAAATTGCTAGGCACTATACAGGAACATGATAGTTACCATAGTTAATGCCACGGTCCTTGCCAGTTAAGGGTTTTCTCTTTCCACTAGGAAATTATGGGAGGGGTACCTGTGATCAAATACTAAACACAAATCTAAACAAAGCTGTGTGTGTTCCTCCCTCCTCAGGACAATGCTGACCTATTACTTACAACTGGAGTAAAAAAATCTAATAAACTTAAAATGATGGTTTGCCATGTATAAAACATCGCAGTGCAGCTTTGTAATAGACAGAATCATATTGAAATCAGATGAATTGGAGGAAAGGGTCTTACCTGTAATTCCTAGTTTAGTAGTGATATAAATGGGTTGGGATATTCCCCGTGAGTTGTGAGAACAAATTGTAATGCTATAGTCTGTCTTAGGAATGATTTGTGAGAATGTGGTCTGCACTGTAGAATTTGTTCCCGTGTCTCTTTGACGCATCTGGTTTAGGGCTGAAAACGTCACTCTATACTCAAGACTTTTCCTTCTCACTTCTAATACACTCATCTATTAAAAAATAAAATAAAATAGCGTATGTTTTTCTTTGCATGTTTCACCAACGCCCACACACGAAACAAGTTTTAGCAGCAGTTTGAAGCCAGTGTTCATTCAGTTGGCCATTAGAGACTCAGGTTCAAATTCCCTCTCCTCCCCGCCCCGCCCCCCCCAACCATGAAGCTCTCTGGATGAACTTGGGCCAGCCACATATACCCCTTCCAAGCATAACTGGCCTTCCTTGCAGGGGGATTGTGAGGATAAAATGGGAGCAGAGGGGAGTCATGTAAGCCGCCTTAAGAAAAGGTGGGGCAGAAATGACAAGCTCCTGAGAGGTTACCATTTGTTATATTTTAAAAGGAATTTCTACAGCATTTTCTAACACACAAGTGTCAGTCTAAGAAACTTCCAAGGGAAGCCAGGCTGAGAGAAGGAAGCTTGTTCAAGTAACCCTTGTTAGTATTTTGGGGTGAGTGCGGATGTGGTACTTGACTTCCCATATTGAAGCAAGCTGCTGTCCCTCAGTATCGGTGCAGCATTTTAAGATGCAGGTTTCTTTCAGACTGCCCTCACAAAAGCCGTCTGGTGTTGTTCCAATTTGACAGATGGGGAATTGGAGCTGAGAGAGAATGAATTTGGCTGCCGCAGCAAAAGAAAACATCTCTTCTTCCCTCAGACTCCCTTCATTGTTTATATTACTGTACTACAATTTGATGAGAAGCTGGCTTGAGGGAAGTGGCTGAGTGTGTGTGTGTAAGAAGCTTCACCTCCCACAGTGCATTGCATGGAAGGTGAAGTGGGCCCATGGCTGGTCCAATTGTAGCAAGTATATCCCCCCCCCAAAAAAAAACCCTCTCAAAGTGCTCTTGACAAAAAAAATGAGTCAAGAGCATACTTCACTAGCTTGGCACAGGCTACTTTCATTTAAGAGCAGACTTGGGCACATGAAATACAAACTCTCCTTATTAATTCCCCTTATATTGAGGCTCCATGTCCCTTCACATTTAAAGCAGTTTCAGGCCACTTTAAACCATCATGGCTTCCCTTAAAGAACCCAAGGAGCTGGTGTTTGTGAAGGGTACTGAGAGATGTTAGGAGAACCCAACTCCCCTCAGAGAGCGACAGTTCCCAGAGTTCCATGGGAAGAGGGATTGATTGTTAAACTACTTAGAATTCCAGGATTATTTGGGGAAGCCGTGTGTGTGTGTGTGTGTGTGTGTGTGTGTGTGTGTGTGTTGATGCTAGTATTATGAAGCAAAACATTGCCATTATTGAACTTCTCAGAGGGAATGTGAGGGAAAGACATCATAGTCTACTAGTGCATTTCATTGTAGAATTGTAGGGTGTGCCTCATTAAGGATTCTTAACTCTCAAACAGAGGCAAAGGTGACAAATGGGTGGAACCAAGAATACCACAAGCTGAAGAAAGCACAGGTGAAACTTCAGCATGGCTTTCCTCTCTTCTAAGAAGCAGCCAGTATGAATGAGAATCTGCTTTCAGTGTGAATAACAAAAACAGGTAAGAAACTGCTTGTTTGAGCAAAGCTGTACTAAGAATTGAGTAGCAGAGGGGAATGAGGGGAAGGCAGTGGTATAGTGGAACAGGAAGTGGGTAGAGAAACTTTGCTTATGGCCTTTTCTCAGGGCAGGAATGGTGTTATCTGCCGGAGCAACTGATGTACCTTCATTGGTCTGGCATGTGCATGGTTTCTAAGTTTGCTTTGTGGAGAGATTGGCTTAGAGGAAGGGTGCCTGTATTTTGAGGTGGGGATTTAAGCACATTCCAGAACTTTGTTTGCACATTTAAAGTGGATTCAGGTGCTCTGTTACCCTAGTGCAAAACCACATACGCGAAAACACTTCTTGCAGTTTGGAAAGTGACAGGGAAATGCATTGAAAATGTGGGATGAATGAATTATCAACAAGATGATGTGTAACACTTTCTAAAGAAATAAGAATGAGTGTTTCATGGAGATCAGACCTAGTCTAACCAACATGTAAACTTTGTGCCAGTAAGTAAGGATGAATGCTAAGTATTTAAACACGCCTCATCTGGAGGCACCTAGAGTTGGATCCTCATCAAAGGAAATCAGTCCCGAGCCCTTGATTATTTTCCTCATTCTCATACTACATGTTAGTGGTTTAAATGGTAGCACTTCTTTGTACTTCTCTGCATTTTGTACTTCTATGTACGTCTTTCTTCTATGCATTTGCAATGAAAAGCCAAAGGTTTCATTTCCACTAGGAAAAGGGTTTTTTTTTTGGTTGTATGCCATGTTAGTCAAACTCAAAGTGGACCTGTTGAAATTAATGGAAATGACTAATTTAGGCCCATCAATTTTAATGGGTCTCTTCTGGCTACAACTTCCTTGAATTCAACCTGATGTGTTTTACAAGTTACACCTAGGCCACCAAAAGCACCACTGAATTCAATGGGGCAAGCTATTCATAGGATTGCAGTCATGCCATATGGCTGATCAGGGATGCAATCCCAGGTCTCTCCAGCCAAGTTTTAACAGGCCAACTATTACACCACCCTTTGGCAGCTCACTATTCTATGGAATGTCAGCTGATCCAGAGAAATTGGGAACTCTGCTATGTACTTTTGCTCTTTGAAGAGGAGTTGCTTTTCTAATGCAGTAATGGGATCGCTTACCCAACTCCCATCAACCCCAGCCAGCTTGGCAGTTGTAGTCCCAACAAAACCTGGGCAGCCACAGATTTCCCACCCCTAAATTAGGGTAAGGAACTATTATGCTTTTTGTTTAGATACACATACAGCAACACCCTCAAAATGGTGTAGGTGCATAGATATTCTTACCTTCCAAAAAAGTGTAATATTCTGCATTTCAGAAGACACATCTTCCATTAAATACCAGACATCAATTGGCTGAAGTGGTACTGGATGAAAGGAGAAAGAAGAGCTTTATAACACATTGCCTAGTTGATTTGGGTGTGGTTTTTGCAAAGTATTGGATAGCACATATAAAACAAATGGGAAGGAATAGTTGTTTTATATAGTGGCAGGTCCCCCCTGAAGAATGAGGTAGGTTGATGTAGTTGCCTGGCAAGCAACTATAAAAGCCCCCCTGCACTTCACATAACCATGACCTAGCCAAATGAGATTGGAGCTAATATTTTCATCCAAAAGATGTCATGGTGGTTGGGTCACTGTTGGAGCAAGCGGGGGGGGGGGGGAGAATAGTGGAAAGGTGATGTGCCTGAATGGCATAATCATCATGTGTTGTTGCTTCCTCCTCTTATTTAGCCATCTTTACTCTGTTTTCTTGGGTAACTGTATTATTACTTCCTCTACAACCAGAGCAATTTTTTTGCTAGTTCTCCATGCTGACCTATGGCATTGTTTACCACAGAAACCAACCAGATCTTTCTGGGAAGCCCCTAAACCGAGATGAGGGCAACAGCCCTCTCTCACTGTTGAATTGTCACACAAATGCATGCTGTCTCTGATTCCAGAGGCAGCAATAGCTATCATGGCTAGTAGCTATTGATACCCTTATCCTCCATTTATTCCAAGCCCTTTTAAAAGGTTTGCAGGTACTACTATAAAATGTCAGTTGCCATGAAGGGGTGAGAGGGAGACGTTCACACCTCTTGCTGCATCTGTCAGTGACAGGAACTGATTATGTCACTAGTGGTCAATGATGCAAGGGTGACAATTTATAGTAACGTCTTTCTGTGCTTGACAGAAACCCACAAAGACATCAAAGACCATAAGCTACAAATTGCCATAGCTACAAATCGTTGCTGAAAGTTTTCTAAGTCACAGAAGAAATGAAGACTTTGTGGCATGGTTCTGTGCAATGGTCCAGTTTGAAGGAAAGTGGCCAATGTTTTTTATAAGTATGAAGCAGGTCTTGCATGTTAGAATCTGAATACCTTTCAGACTGGCCAAAGGCTGTTGTGCTCATGCATCAGACTTACTCCTGCAGTGGAACCTTCTCCTCTTACTTCCCTCCTGCAGCCTCCCGTATACCCTCAAAATCTGCTCTAGAGGCTTGGAGGACCCTCCAGGGCAGATATTGGAGCCTGCAGGGAGAGGACAAGGCTGGGAAGTTCTGTTGTGTAGGCCACACAACATTGGTTCCGCATCCTTGCCGTGTTAGTGGGTATTCTGCATGTATTGTTGCTGATTTGTGATGACTGCTATGAGAGCTTTTCACTATAGACCCTTGATTCTTCTATCTAGTCTTGTGTATCTGTTTCACTGAACAGAGAAAAATATTTCTTTCTTATGTCTTGTTTTGTTGCTTGGGTCTCCAGGCCATATGAATATTATTTCTATTCCTCACCGAATTCCTATGAGATGATAGTTTGGCTGCAAGCATGAACGTGTTATCCGTAGCTGATTTCTTCATAGGTACAAAAATAAATGCTAGGCATTTCAAAATTGTATCACCTGCTTCTGTTTGAAACAACATACTCCAGTCACTCCATAATCCTGTGTTGGGCAGGAACCTGCAGGAAACCTGGAATTCATATGCTGTATCTGGCTTCAGGTCATGTAGATAATATCTTCTGCTGTTTATATTTTCAAGCTTGAATGAAAAGGAAAATACAGTGAGCATCAACACTGTTTTCTAAACCAAGTGCTGGGCCACTGTTTCCCAGACGTGGGTCTCTAGCTGTCTTTGGACTACAAGTCCCATCACCCCTGACCACTGGTCCTGCTAGCTAGGGATGATGGGAGTTGTAGTCCAAAAACAGCTGGAGACCCTAAGTTTGGGAAACACTTTGCTAGGTCAATACAGGATCACAGTACTGTATACTACTAATTGCTGAATGGAACGAATGGTGCGTCTCCTTTACCACAAGCTCTCATCCTGTCTCTTCAGAGTGTGTGTAACTGAGGAGTAATTAGCAGTGTTGGCGCCATGAGCACCTCATTAACCCATTAAAGTTGAATGGAACAGCAGGTTGTGAGGTCATTTCTTTCACTGTCACCTGGAGAATCACATGATTTTTTACCTTATGCTTGGTGGTGGTACATTTAGGTAATTTTAGACCTCATGATCCTGGTGGGGGCATCTATTTGCATTGGGGTGGTGAGAATGTGGCACTTCAGACACATAGCTTCCGTCGTCCCTGGCTGTTGGTCATGCTAGCTTGGGCTCATGGGAGTTGGAGTCCAAACAAGGTTAGCCGCCCCTGCTTTAGATGGTAATGGACTTTCGCTTCATTTCCTTAAGAGTGTTTTAGGACAGCCCTTCTGTGTTTAGGGGCCCTCCTCTTCCTTCTGCTGACAGGGGCCCTGGACACCAGCCCAAAGCCCTTCTCTAAATGCAGTACTGCTTTTACTATGATGAACTCTATGAATGCAAGATTTACATATTATCTTTAGGCCTATAAAATGGCGAAGAAATGTATAGAGGAGCCTAGTGCCCAGGAACTTCTAGGTTCCTTGCTTCTATCAGTAGAAATCCATTTAGAAGTATGAGCTAAGTTGGTAACTGGGTTGTGAGTCTATGCAAAGTTGCCTGTTCCTGATCTGAAACTAGGATGACTGCAGAATTTGAAGTGTGTGTGTTGTGTACACACCAACCATATTTTTCTATGCTGCTGCTTTTTCATCCTTGCAATGTTCAAACAAGTATGTATACACAGGATCATCTATGAGCAGGTTGTCCTGGGAGATATTCCAAGTCTAGTAATTCTGAGATAAATATCCAAAACTTAATTCTGTATAACATGTTCTTAATTCCTTCAATATGGGTTGCTTAGCTTGGGTATGGAAAGAGGAATTTACATTACTCTAATTTGTAAACAACCAAGTTGTTTTGCCATTTAGTAATACAAGAATACATTTAGAAGACATTACCGTGGTCCAAGAGCTGCTGTTCATTGGTTGGTATCTTAATCTAAAGTGCTGTGCCTCTTGTTGATCTTGCCACGAAATGCTGCAGTTTCTTGCATCAAAACCATCAAATGCTACTGAGAGGTTCACGGGTGCACGTGGCTTCACTGATTATGGTGACCAAAAATACATTTGAAGGAAATGAAATAAATGAAAACACAGAAGTTAGTATTCTTGAAATTGCCAGTGGCCATACGCAGAAAGCTTATACTAGTGATCCATATTTTTTGAGGAATGAGCTATAGACCCCTCTGCTGGACTGGGAACTGCTCGTGAAAACATATTGCGTCCAGCAACGTATGCTATTTTATGAGTCCATTCCTGTTGCTGCAGTAGGAGCTGCCTGGTCAACTGTATGACATGGGGAGCCTTGACCATGTTCATTTAAAGAAGACAGAGTCCAACTCCTTCCCCCCACACCCTCACAAAAATAAATAACAGATGTCCCAGTCAAATACAAATGACTGACTGGTAAAATGCTGATATGTGCTGGCATGCATTAGCCCCTCTGCATTTTCACCTCCAACTGTTCTTTATTCCCACTGCTATATATCACTGTTCTTGATAACCTATTATTCTAACTATATCTCTACTTGGGACAATTAGGAGTATAGGTGGCTAACAAATCTAAAAGATAAACAGCACCTCTTTTTCTCTTTATGGGCGTCAGATTTTAATGGAAACAGGCAGGTTCCACTGCAAAGGACTTTGCCACCATGGGCCTTTTCAAAAACATGCTAAGCAATATGGCCACTACGTGAAGTCCTCCCTCTTCACATGACTCACTCATATGGGAACTCTGCAATTAAGGCTTTTTTAAAAAAATAAAAAGGTGATTCAATGTTTCGTGTGTGAGTCAGTGCTGATTAATAGTACTGCTGTTCTCACAAGTTAACTACTCAACTGTAGCCCGAGTTTAACACGTCATTCTCTGTATACAGCATTTACTTTCATTTCTGAACAATTGTGTCCTATCACACAGAAGCTGCACACAACCCCCCTATTTCTGATATACTGTGATAGAGTGGGAGCCTGCCGTTTAGACAAGAAAGCAAACAATCACCACTGACGGTAGGAGCCAAATTCTAGGGGGCAAGGTCCTTTCGCGCCCTCCCTAAAATATTTGAGGGGGCCAGGCCACCCCAAAGTTGACGGGCATTGTCATTCAAATAGTGTGTGTGTGCTGTGTCTTGTAATTGATTATGTGGGTGGGGCTTATCTGCCCCACCCCCAATATTTTATTCAAGCTGGCACCTCTGCCACTGACCAAGTGAATTTTGGCACAGGTTTCTTTTGTTTCATTGGCTTTTTGGTGGGTGAAAGGAAATTGCACCCAAACAAATACTCTCTAGAAAGCCTTTGGAGTGCCAGCCAAATAATATGAATTTAATGGAGGCAAATTCCTGACATTTACCTATGTCAATTAATGTGAATTGAATTGGTTGGGAAGAAACCTTTCCCAGTCCATTGGTGGCATTGATGACAACTGTATAGGTGGACTGAAAATTCAACTTCACTCTGAGCTCTACTGAGCCATATGAGCTATTTTGATTCCTTTCATCTTTCCATACTGTTGCTTCATTGGTGTTTCCATTTGTTAGCCTGCAATAGAAAGATAAACCTGGATGAATAGGTCATCCCTTTTCTACCCTCAAAGAATGTTGCTTTGTTGCTGAGATTAGAATAATTTCACACCCATAAAACATTGTGCAACAGTTAATGGAATACTGCTCAGTACCATATTATATACAGTCAATTGACACTTCTGTTAAGCAGATTACATGATCTGAACCCAGAGCTGCTTAGGTCCAGGAGTTGGGGCCATAGCAGATGACACAATTAGCAACCCACAAAGTAGTTCAGAAAGTAGCAAGAAAATCCTAGAAGGAAACAGTACAAAACAATACATGAAAGTCCATTTGTGAAGGACTAACCCAGATGCTTTCATAAGGAGACATGTTTCCAGCACAAGTGCAATATGCTGCTGCTGGTGGGGCTTTAGGAGGTTAAGGTAGCAAGAACTCAGGCAACAGGCAGGTGCAAGTGAACAGGAATACAGTAAAAACTGAGACACAAGTGAGACTTACTGTAATGTATAGTTAGTATCAAGGTAGGTATAGTGTCCTTTATCCCAAGTGCAAATAGTACTTCCATCCTTTCCATGCTGAATGCAGAGTATATTTTTGGGCTGGGCTGGAGGAACTTAAAAGGAGACAACGTAAGTGGCTTAATATTTGTTAATATGAATCCTTCCTTTGGCATCTAGGACTTGTATTTATCCATTTATTCTTAATTAAATAGGCCTGTAGATTACATGTATGCAAAGAGTTCATATTTGCCTATTTCATTATTTTTTATTAGGAGAAAGTGTTAAGTGCAAAATAGGATTGTGCTGCTGACCCAAAGTTCTAAAGCGTAATTCAGAGTCCATCAATGAATGACTGGTATAGAGGCATGGGGGGGGGGGGGGATGGATATCTAGCAATGATCAGATTTTGCCTGGTGCAAAAGTGCTTGTAAAACATTCTATCCCTGCAACAAAAATTTTGCCTTGAGGAAAGCCATGCTGCACAAAAGTAAATTTACTGCAAAAAGAAAAAGAAAGTGGGGGAGAGGAATGCCCTGAGTCTGATGCCCTTTTTATGCTAAGAGTTTGGTGCGCAATATAACATCACTAAAGAATAGAATAGCTAAAAAAATAAGATCCCCTCCCCTTACACAGGTCTGAAAATGACCACCCCAAGCTATGTCCCATTGATTTCAATGGGAAAGTAAATCACTGGCTTAAATCCCTTTGATTGAGAATGGGATTTATAAATGCTTGACTTCTAGCTGGATTGTGCTGCTGGGCGCAGGCCAGGGATGTCTCTGTGAAAAGCCCCACTCAGTTAAAAAAAAAGTATATGGAAAGATTAATACCTCTTGTTTCTATGACACAACATTCCATTCCTCAGTAAATGAAAGTTATTGAGTGAAAGGCACCAGAGTCTCTTGATTTTGCTATCCCTGCTGCCGTGTTATATTATATATTTTTTGTTTGCACACACACATATTGTCTGTGAACACCAGCAAAACACTTACAGAAAAAAGCACTTCCTTACTTCCAACATCGACGTAAACTCCACATACGATCACTTTCCTTTCCTGCCGAGAACTCCGTTGGCATTTGAACGTCTGCCTCCCAAATGTGTGCTGTGAAATGTGAGCACTGACCAAAAAGCCAGAGCTGCTGCTTACTGCTGAGTGGTTGTGTAAAATAGTTATTGTATGTTTGTTCTGCAAATTGCTAGATGATCCACTGTTGTTTAGCCAGCAGGACAGAATCACAGTTGATCCATTTGACACGACTGTGTCACTAGCATTCATGCCTCCCCTATAATGCAGAAAACAAACATGACATGTGCTGCAATAATTTATTGGAAACTTAATCAACTTTGGATACCGCAATGGAAAATTGCTTCACATATTGCCTTTATATGGTAAGAGAAATGTGTTCTAAATCAGGGTGTCTGGAGCAACCATCCTGATGCTGACGGCTGTTACCCCCCCCCCCCCATGAAAGGATATTTTTGTCACCATATACTGCTAAACTTTAGAATTAAGGTTGAAACCTGCCAGTCCAGCATGCTGTGATTGGGAAGAAAACTCCCTCTCTCAAATGATTGATCAGCTGCAGAATGGTGGGATCGATTTCATCCCCGTCACAGGGGATCCCCATCGCCCACACTTAACTTTGTTCCGTGCTTTCTAGACACAGGTCTGGGCTTTCCAGGTCCTCTTGTCTAGCCTTTTACATAACTAATTGCACACCCCAAACCCTGTGCTACCAGCATGCCTGCTGCTCTTGCTTCCATCATTGTTTAGATTCAGGCAGACGATCAGAAAACCCCCACCTACAGGTGTCTGTTTCCCTTGCAATGAATTCCTGTGTCACTCAGGGCAGCCAGATTCCATGGGGTTTGGAGGGGGACTGAGCCTTGCTTCTTGTGAAGAAAGGAGATTAAGGGGAAATGATCCCTTCTACAACTACTGTATTTTTCTGTGTATTAGACAAGGTTTTTTGACTCAAAAATCATGTCAAAAAACAGGGGTCGTCCAATACACGGATATTGGTATGGGGCCAGCTGGTTGGCGGGAGCGCAATTTCCTCCGATGCTGCTGTGCGTGGGAAACGATCTCTAGGGAGTGTTTCCTGCCCGCAGCTGTGTGAGGGGGTGGGGGGAGATGCTCAACAACTTTGGGCCATCTCCCCTCCTTTTCTTAAAATTGAGTCCCCAAAAATAGGGGGGGGGCCCTTATACATGGGGGTGTCTTATAGACGGAAAAATATGGTATGTGCCTGGCAGGCCTGATATTATATAATTACAACGTAGGGAGCAAGTGAATTCTTTCAGTGTATATACAGAAATAATACAGTTGGTGCTCATTTTTGCTTGAACAGTTATATTTTCCAGTGATTTGATCCTAATTAATTAATTTAGGGCTTGTCCATTAATTTTTCGGCTTGCCCTGTGCTTTCTAGGTAGGGGGTCTGAGCAGTTTTCTGTTTGCATTGCCCCTTCACCCAGGAAAACTTGTTCTTTAGCACTGAATCGGAGCAAATGTCAACGCGTGGAAAACCTGATTGATATTTGCTTCGATTCAGCGGTAAAGAGTGGGTTTTCCTGTGGGAAAGTTGTGTAGGGTTGCCATACATCCTCCTTTTCCAGGACAAGTCCTCCTTTTCAGAGTTAAATTTCTGTTTGGGTAGATCTTTTGAATTTGCCAAAATGTCCGGGGAGTTTCCTTTTGCACCGAATTTTCCTGTGTCACTCTCTGGTGCCCACCAATGTCATTCCCATGCGCACCCCACCATGGCGTGGCCCTGTTCCCGCATCCCCTCCCCCCTGCCCCAGTTTCTGGCAAATGTGTCCTCTTTTTTTCTTCTTCTTCAAAATATGGCAACCCTAGCTGTGGGACATACGGAAGTTTGGATGAGCCCCTACTTGCAATCAAAAGCAACAAATGAGCCATCTTATTGTAGCAGGACTTCTCAATAAACTGTATGGCCATAGGGCAGATTCCTGCACTCTCGCACACAACTGAAAATGGCTGGAAACAATTATGGAAAATGAAATAATCATATCCCTTAAGGCTTAAGTAGTTCCTGTGTCAATATCAATGCAGGTTCTTTAGAGATAATTCAGCCTGTCCTTTTATCTGCAATTACAATTGCTGCAGCAATAGGCCCCACAGTCAATGTGCAGTTCCTAGTAGGTAAATCTATGTATCGGCTCTGCAGAGTGCTATACAATTAGGAACTCTGATGGGTGGTTCTTAACAATGTTTTTAGCCTAATACATAAACAGAATATTTGTTTGAGAGAGAGAGAGAGAGAGAGCAATGCTACTCAACTGTTTACTGTTGCAAGCAACTGAGCTCCCAAAATGTACTCCTAGATTGAGAAAAGGAAAGGAAAATGTGATGCTTTCTGATAGAACAGTTCAAATAAAAGGAGGAGTTTCCCCCAGAACATGCAGTCCCCCCAAATGAGCAAGGTTTCTTAACAGATGGAAACTCACTGTGGCAAAGACAGTAGTCCCCAAAGGGTGCTGCGACTGGGATTTAGTGGCAGCCTGATAAAAGGTTGGTTGGGGACGGTATGCATTTGAATACCAGTGTCTGGAAACTGCAGGAGGCGAGAAGGCTCAGGGCTCGCTTGCGGGCTTTCCATAGGTGTCTAGTTGACCACTGGGAAAACAAGATGGTGGACTAACTGGGCCACTGGCCTGATCTAGCAGGCACTCCTTATGTTGTTATGCTCATCACTCCCAACTGGGGATGGTACTATGCATCACGGCAATAGCAGGCCATGTTATTTGCATTCATGAGGATCTAGGCTTAACCTCTGAAACCTCCAAGTTAAAAACACGTTAGATAGCAGGTGATGAGAGAGACCTCTGCCTAAAGCCTTTGGGACTTGCAATAGGTCAGAGTAGACTGTACTGGACCAAAGGGAGCCAATCGTCTTACTTGGTAGGAACATCTTCATGAGAAGATTCTCAGGTTTGCGCCTGTCACGCACGGAACACTTCCAGGTTTAGGAATCCTACTGAGGGTGTTTGGGGCCAAGGATCCCCCCCCCAACCCCAAATAGTGAAGCCACTGCATTTGTTTGGGATTATAAATACTTACCTATTCCCATGTGTACTAAAAGCCAAACCTTTAAGGGAACATGTGCCGTGAAGAACATCTTGATGCATGGGTTTTTGCTGGGGTTTGCTTGCCCTGTTTTAAAACAAACAAATAAATCTCTGTGGTGGGGGAGGGGGAATAACCCTTTAGCTACTCATCAAAGGTAATGGGGTTGAGGGATCTTTTCTACTTCTCAGAACAGGAAGGCAGAGCTTCTCCACCACCACATCCCAAGCTCCTGGGACTTTTCAGTGCAACGTTGAGCATCTGGATTTTACAAGAAATAACAGACAGTTACAATAAAACATGAAGCTCATTCTAGGAGCAGGGCCTAATTTTAGGGATTCCCCAGTTCTTTGTAATTATTTTATTTTTTATTTTGCCTTTCATGAGCAATATTTCTTGGGTTTCTTTTCTGGTTCATGAGCAAATGCTGCTGCTTCTCTGTCTTTTCTGGAAGCACAAGTGCTTAAACAAAAACAGAGAAACAGAATCATTCCAAAGGTCATAGCAGCCTTTGGGTTGCATCAGTTCAGATAAACATCCTAGTGCTGATTTTTTCCCAAAATGTGCTGCTCATAGCGTTAGAGTTGCCAGGTCCTCTCTGAAGAGAGGGTGCCTGCGTCAGGGCAGTGGGCAACCTTCCTTCTATCAAGAACCACATTGCTGGTGGCGGGCAGACCCAGAGATGAAGATGTTTTGGATTGACTAATCCAGGATATTGTTATGTACTAACCTTGGATCCTAGAACAATAGGCAAGTAGGATCCTAGAATGCAACAACTGATTGGCTTGCAGGAGAAGACCAAACAGGCTCCAGGAAGAAGTTAATCAGCCTGTTAGGCTGGTAGGATCGTAGAATGCAACAACTGATTGGCCTGCAGGAAAAGACCAATCAGGCTCCAGGAGGGAAGCAGAATCAGCCAATCAGACGGGACTCATTGTGTAAATAATTCAATCACTGTTTTACAAGCTGCAATGAAGAGCATGAAATCACTACAGCACTCTGAGTATATTTCGGATATAGACTGTCTTGCTTCCATTTTCACCATGGGTACTACAGATAACCCCCTAATCCTATGTGATAAACCCTACTGGGTTTAATGGGGTTATTGTCTAATGATATTTACTGATTCATTTTGTACAGCAGACCAGCTATAGCCACTGTTCTGAAAAGCAAATAAAAGTAATTACTTTTTGACTTTAGTGTGATACACACACAACTGGATCCTGTCAGTTAGTTGGGTGGGAAGCCTTTCCCCTAAGCCATACACCAAGGAGGTATCAGTGCTGCATTGGATGCAGTTGCTATAGTTTGCTCACTTGTGGTCTATATTCAAGTATGGTGGAACCATTGAAATGGTTGCCATCCCTTACCTGCCAAGGGGCAAAATTAGGGTTTTGTTGGCCTCTGCAGGCTTATGAGGTGGAAGAGCAAGAATAGTGGGGACAGGTTAGGACTGTGAAGGGTTGTTAAAGAGCAGCAATCCCATTCTATTTTGTTTGCTGTGCTGAAATAACTTAGATTGCACATTACGAGAAAAGGTACAATATACATGAATTGATCTTTGAATCTTTCAGAGGAATTGCAAGTGCAAATGAATCCAGTTGGAATCATATGTATACTTAATTGGGGAGTATCATCAGCAGAAATCTGTACAAATGGAAAAGTTCCTCAAAAGTTGTTTTTGTCTGCAAAAATTATTTCTGCTTTCATATGCTTTGTGCCATAGGTAATATAATTGGCAATAAGAATGTAACAGCTTAACTAGTAATGTTGAACTAGAACAGGTGTTCATTATCTATACCTTCTGGAAAAAATGAATACATTTTTGTTTCGAAAAGCCTTTATAGCTGGATGAAAATGTCTCTGCCTTTAGGTGTTCATTTTGTTTCTAAATCTATCTTTAGTTATTATTTCTGGTACCTTTTTTTTAATGATGCAAAGCTGTTTTTATGGTTTGTAAATGAGTCGCATTTAAAAGGCAGTTCAAAAAATTAATAAATAATAATGATAATAACGGTAACAAATTGGATTTTTTCATTTATTATAATCATCATTTGCACAGGTCTCTTTTTGACAGTGAAAGTGTGAATGTATAATTGACCTGAATCAACAAGAAGGAAAATTCAGTCAACCCACATGGATCTAAAGCTAAATGTGTACCATTAATGTTTTCAGACAATGAGCTATTTAACATAGGGGTGGGAACATTTGACCCTCCAGAAGTTGTTGGGCTACAGTTCACATCAACCCCAGCCAGTATGGCCAATGACCAGGAATGATAGTGGTAGTTTGGCAACATCTGGAGAACCAATGGTTCCCCATACTATTTTGTGTTACAATATAAAAATTGTGAAAAGGGAAAATATAAGTATAAAGTGACCATTTAGAAAATAATATATTAAGAAATGCCTTCTTAGAAGCCTTACTCTGGAATTTGTGCAAATGTGGGGGGGAAACAACAACCTACTTTTCTGGATTCTCCCCTTTTCTCACACCGTGCTAATCTGTAAGTCAGAAACATCCCTTCTGTGACTGGAAAAAGCTTTAAACAGCACTTCTGGCTACACTGCAGTGTGTTCTTTTTTATGTAACCATACACCACCGGCTGTGTTCCGTTATGCTGGCATTCTGAGCACATGATAGTTTCACCAGAGATTTTGAATTGGTATGACAAGAGAGTCAACACCACTCACTTTGTGTGTCTGTGTGTGTACAATATCAGTCCCTCCCTCCCTACATCTGCTCAAACAGGTTTAACAGATTTCTGTTAACGTTTCAGAATTACAAGACCCAGCTAGAGAGAAAGGAAAATAGCTTGTGTGCCAAGAACAAAAAATGGTTTAATTATGTCACCTTTGAATTTCTAAGCCATCTCATGTGGGTGACAATACCGTCACTGAGTACAGCTGTTTTGGGGGGGAAGGGAGGCAGGAGCAACCAAATAGGGCAGGGCTTTTTTCCCCAGCAGGAACTTACCAGAACTCAGTTCCGGCATCTCTCAAGTGGGTGCCATTGTCATTCTAAGAGAACAGGGGAGGCATTTGTGGTGAGTTCTGGCAACTGTTTTTCTAGAAAAATAGCACTGAAATGGAGGATATTTTGCCAAGAAAAGTATTCTGTAATAGCAGTACTTCAATAATGTACTATATTTTATATTTCCACATCCTCCAGCATTTCCCAAATGAAGATAAGGATGGTCTTGTGTTCTCCTTTCTGTCTCCACACCAAATATCACTGGTCCTACCACTATTACACATTGCTGTCTACAACAGCATAAAATGATCGCCTTAGTGGGATTACTACAGACTGCTTCCAGCTCCACAGTCACTGTAGAAAATTGTTGTTTGTAGGAAATTTGGACCTTCTTTTTGAGCCTTTTCTTTCACCATCAGAAAGGAATATAAATTTATTCATTAAATCTTGTTCCCACAGTCTCTTTGGGAGATGGTGTATGGCTATCTGGCTTGTTCAGGTTGATACGTCAGGTAACAAAGCAAACCAGATGAATTGCTTTTCTTTTTGGTTTCTTTTTCTGTCAAGCACTCAGAAATGGATGAGTGAGCAGTCCAGGCCATTTACAAGAAAGAAGTGTGATTCCTTTTTACAAGAATTGTTTTTAATGTAGGCAGTTTGTTGAGGGAAGCAGGGGAAAATACCTCACAGGTTTAAATCGGAAAATATCAAATGATCCTCTTTGGAATTCTTCCAGTGGGGACCAATTCATGGAATTCTGTCTTTAGAATCATATGTCCCTTTGCCTGAAACCATATACCCAGAAGCCTACTGGGTACCATACTGTCTCCAAGTCCACCAATGCCATGAGAACATAGGAAGCTGCCTTATAGCGTGTCAGACTATGGCTCCATTTAGTTCAGTACTGCTTACATCAGTCATAGGCAAACTTGGCCCTCCAGGTGTTTTGAGACTGCCGTTCCCATCATCCCTGACCACTGATCCTGTTAGCTAGGGATGATGGGAGTTGTAGTCCCAGAACATCTGGAGGGCTGAGTTTGCCTATGCCTGGCCTACATCAACTGGAAGCTGCTGTCCAGGGTTTCAGGAAAGCGTTTTTCCAAGCCCTACTTGGAGACCCCAGAACCTTGAACCTTGGACTTTCTGCATGCAAGGCAGATGTTGTCCCACTGGGCCATGGTCCTTTCCTAATGTAAAAATTAGAGGGGAGTGAGGATGGGAAAGTGAGAAACCAGTTGTGGGGCAATATAAGGCAGCAGCTTTATAAAGCTCCTCTGATCTTCAAATATATCTACGCACAGACTGTAACCTCTTTCCCTCTCTCTCCACACCCTCTAAACAATATAGAAACCTAAAAATAAAGAAAAAGTACTTTTCACAAATGGGATTGTTACGGAAGGAAAAATTGTGGGAGCAACAACAATTGTTTGCAAGTGCCAGTTACACTAACTTCATCAAGAGGAGAATTAAACAAAAAAGTGGGCATACAAATGATTTTTAAAATTGTTACATTTGTGATAAAGAGGGGAAGAGTTGAGAACAAAGAAGATGTGCATTCAGCTGTGGAGTTTTCAAATGCTTAAATCCTTCGTAAAGGGATCAGTGAATTTGAGGCACTCCTTTTCAGTACTACACATTTCTTAAAATGGAATCTGTTTGGTAATTTTCCACATTCCCCAATCTTTGACTACGTCTTACACACAAACACACGCAAGTGATACCCTGATTTGTATAGCAGCTTTAATGTTCTAGTCTTCACTTTGAAATCACTTTGTCCTGCTGATCATCTCTCATCCCCTGCTTCTTGCTGCAGCCACGCTTTGCACAGCAAACTCATCTCTCCTTGGCCCCTTTCTCTTTCAACTGTGTCCTTTGCCATGAAGCACCTGCCTAGAACAGCTTCCCCATCATTGTCAGGGACTTTTCCACTGATTTATTATTAATTTTGCAGTTGTTACCCAGCTGTATGAAGACTAGGTGGGCACTTTTTGGATAGCGATCATGCTATAATAATGAGCTCCTCTCTGCCCCATGCCTGCACCACTTAGATTTATTTAAGACAAAATTAGTGGGCTCAGCACCCCCATCTCCCCCCAAATCATTCGTGAAATGGCAAACACCAGCAAATCTCCTGTCACATCAGTGTCCTGATAGTTTACAAAACTTTTTATTTTAAAAACAATGCATTATTTGTAGGCGCTGCATTTCATCTATTTTTTTATTTTTTGGGGGGGGGGGAAATATACACACACCATTTAGAGATTTTTGAAACATGAATCCACTGCAACGCCATTTAACCTGGCTTATCCACTTGGTGCAATTAGTTTATTGTACTGGCTCAAGACTAGCTTAATTTAAAAAATTAAATAAAAAAGCATTTGGAAAGCTTTTGGAAAGGGCCTTTATTCCCTCCTACAAGTTCTCCCTTAAGAGACTGCTTCCACACAAGGCGTGAAGTAGAGCATTTCCATGCCTTGTTCACCTGTTTGATTCTTTGGCAAGGCATCTCCACTGCTTATGTACATGCCTCTGACTCCTTCTCCACTCCTCAACTTTTCTCTTTAGCAAAAGTTTTGATACACCAGGAGCTGTAGCATTTCTGTGGCCACTGCCCATGCCCAGCTGGGACCTTACCTGCACTATGTTCAAGAAGGGCTCTAAACCCATACCCAATGACCTAAGAGTAAGCTCTGTGAACCAAATAGGACTCTCTATTTTAAAACCATAGATCTTACTATGGAATCAGAGGGAACAATTTGGCTTCTTTCTGCTTTAAAAAGATGAGGGGGAGCAAGCCACTATTCTTTTGCCCAGTAAGGAGGCTTATGTCCCTGATTTCTCCTCAGGTGCCAAGCAAATACGAGCTCCTTCTTCCCCTTCCTTTTCAGTTATATATCCAGTGCTATTTTTTCTTTTAAAAAATGTTTAGGGGTACTCTCATTTCGACTCAAAATCACCATTTTATAGTTCAAACCAGGAAAAATAAATACAGTAAATGGACAAAAGTACAATGATTCACAAAATGTTTCGGAGTATGCATACCCCTGCGTCGTCCCCCTAGAAAAAAGCACTGTATATATCTATTATCTGCATCTATGCGGCAACTCACCCCGGTTCACTGCAGATGCAAGTTCCTCTTCCCATCGGCACCTCATGGGCTGGCCTCACAGAAGCTGCTTAGAGCGCTGTGTGTGTGTCTGTGTGAAAGCAGCAGTCAAAGTTCCTGCCTGCTTAGACATCAGTCTCCCTCTCTCCGCCCATACTGGCTTCCTCACTCACCACCTGACAATTCTGTTTCTTGTCAGTAAGGTGCCATGTACAGCCACATTTCAAGGATTGCACGAAAGGTGCCTTGAGCCTCACTCAGCCCCAGGTGGCTATTTCCCCCCATTCAGCTTTCTCTGACAGACCTGGTTGGCTTCAGGCTACAAAACGGTGAATGGGGATAAAAATTAAAACTGTGGCTTCTTTTACCCTGTCATGGCACTTTCTCTCCCCCTCCCACCTCTTGAGCAGTCGCTGTTCTAGTATATTTCATAAACCAACTTTAATCATGAGGTGCTAAGTAATTCCTTTTTAGGAAAGGGAAGGAAAGGAGCAGGTTATAAACCAACTTGATTGTGAGGTTTTAAATCATTCGTTAAAAAAGGGGGGGGAGCAGGTCAGTGCTGCAGTTTAGCATCGCACTAGTTTCTTCTCATTGGCACTGCTTATCTGTGATGTGAATAACAATTCCTGCTATTCAGGAAGTTCCTTCATGGTGCATCTATCTTCCATTTGGGATGGGATCAAAGAATGATAGAACTGCAGAGTTGGAAAGGTGCAATGCAGGAATATTTTGCCTAATGGCGGGCTCGAACCCTACATTAGCAAGATCGTGATTCTTTCCTGTTTCATTGATTAAAAACAACCAAAAACAATACACGTTCCCAAGTTTTGTTTGGGAACCAACACAACGCATAATCCATATTCTGCATTTCAGGTCACATTCTCGCAACTGTTTGAACAAACATGTTAATCTTTCAGAACCTATAGACCCATTTTGTGTATGTTTGTGTGTCTAATGGCAATTTATCCTCTCCATCCTTTTCAAAACATATGTCACTGGTTATTTTCTCATCTATTGTTCCAATTGATTTATTTTTTAGTAAATTAATCAAGTTCAGAAAGACAACTCTGTGCTCTTCCAGATTTGCCCTTGCCCCACTACTTTTCCCTGCGGAAACCTGATCTTTCTTGCTGAATTGGAGCAAACATCAATCAGATTTTCTTAGGACTGACATTTGTTCTGATTTATCGCTAGAGTTGGTTTTCCTGGGGAAATCAGCAGGGCAAGGGCAAAACCAGGTGTGCTTAGAAAGCCCTCGTCTGAATTGTTTCCCACTTGTCTTGTGCTTTCTAGGTACAGGTCAAATGCAAGTCTGAATTAGCCCTCATCTTTTACTAAGTGGGATTGGAAAAAGTCCACTTTTATTCCATTTGTAATTACTGAAGTTGTTTGAACAAAGGGATTTTAGAATGTGAGTACAACACAGTGACAAAGAAAATAAGAATAGACAGTGGGTGGAAGAGATGGTTAGGGACCACGGAAAAACTGAAGGAGTTGGGTATGTTTAGCATGGAGAAGATACAAGTGTGATATGAAATGAAAGTTGTCTTCAAAGGCTAGAAAAATTGGATCCGATTTGCTTTTTTTTCTGCTCCAGAGGGTAAGACTTGAACCAACAGGATCAAATGACAAGAAAGGGGATTTTGGCCAAAAAAGGATTTTGGCCAACAAGGAGAAGAACTCCTTGTTGATACAAGCTGCTTAACAGTGGGGAAGACTGTTGCAGAAGGTGGTAGGTTTTCCTTCATTGCAGGATTTTAAACCAAGGTTTAAGGATGGCCAACTGATTCAGGGATACTGTAGCAGTGCCTCTTGTATGTAGTTTTAGAAAAAAGTGTTTTACAAAAGTTTTGTAAAATTTCATCATATACTTTGAAAGCATTTTCCAGAAAAACCAGGTGTTGGGCTGATTAACATTTGATGTCCTTTTGATTGGGTTTGTGGGAGCTGGGAGTTTGGTTTGTTCTTGTTTTCATTGTGTATTTTGTGTTCTTCTTTTGTATTTTTATGTTGTGAACCTCCCTGTGATCTTTGGATGAAGGGTGGTATACAAATTTAATAAATAGTAATAGTAAATTCTGATTTACCACTTAGCTTCACGAGGAGATACATGTTGAAAGAAAAAGCAAGAGAAAGAGAGAGAACAAAAAACAAACTCCAATTTACTACTTACCTTTATAAAGAAACAGATGTTTGTAAGATGTATCCAACCTTCTCTTTTCAATATAGTAAAACAAATAGTGAACCTTGGGGGTGGGGAATCAGCAGCACAAGCAATCTATTTCTCTGTACAACGTATAACTTACTATCTACAAAGGATACAATTTTAATGTCAGTTTCCAAACCATCACTGCTATTAACCTCAAGATAGCAAAATGAGCAAAAACTGACTGAGAATCTGAGACTGCAGGGATCACCAGTTTCTTTTCCTCTTCTTCTATTGTTAGACTTGGGTCTTCTAGTTGGTATTGCTTTGCAGTTTCATTTACTTGAAAAGATTTGTTAGTAACCATTTAGCTAGACTAGTCACTTTCACATAAAATATGCTTTCTGCAGTTATTCCTTTCCTATTGTTATAATACTGTACTGTTCCTTTAGAATGTTCAAAATAGCTTTAACACAGGGCAGTCTCTAGAATAACGTCCACACCCAAACGAGATATTACCCTATATTCGCCTAGATCTTCAGTCCCCTTACTATCTAGCAGAACTCTAGACATCACTGTGTTTTGTATATCCCCTGTCTCCCTGAGCCCCACTAGCAGCCAGTTATGTGGGGTGGATTCAGCTCCACATGACACAATATAAAATTCTACTGAATGTTAGAGATTAAATGGTTAACAACACATCCACTGTTTTCAGCAGAAACCAGACATCAGGATAATAACTAGTTTGGCTCAACTTCAGCAATGGGAGAACATCAAATGGTGCTAGACCATTTATTACAATTACCCTGGGATGTCCAACCAGCTAATCTCAGTGACTGTGTAAATCGGGCAACCATGGATAGTTAGCTTTCACATGACTGCCCAGATCTTCTTCTTCTCTTCTTCGGCGATCACTCGTAGCCGAGTAAGATTGTCTTCCATAAACACGGTTTTAACAATGAGTCCGTAAGTGACTGTGGAGGCCAATTCTGGATCCACATGTCCTTCCACAGTGGGGACATTGGTTTCCAGGCGGGAGTTGATCATGGTGTGGATTTGCCAAGCGTGCCTTCCTCTTAGCACGTTTCCCCCTTGCATCCTGAGTTTGAGTGTCTTCAAAACCCATGACACCTTTGGTAAAGGCTGTTCTCCAACTGGAACGCTCGCAGGCCAGTGTTTCCCAGTTGTCAGTGTTTATACTACATTTTTAAAGATTTGCCTTGAAGACAGTCTTTAAACCTCACCCTCAACCCCACTCTGCTCCCCCTGCAGCTGTGAATATGAAATACAGAGTCTTAAATTCTGTCAACATTACCTGCTATAGGAAAATTGAGCATAATATTATTGGACTATTACTTCTTTGAATTATATATGCCTGGTGCTTTCAAAGTGTTCTTTAGAGGACATTTCATTCACACTTACAGTACACTGAACTAGTCTTATTGATATCAATTCATTGAGAATTTAAACCATTAACCAACTAAGGTTAATCTAGTTTGGAAGCAGCAAGTGCCATGTCAAAATGTTTAGAAAGGAAGCAGAAGACATGGAACCTGTCCTGTGAACCTTCATATATATTGCAATTGTTTGAAACATTAGGTTAGTTGCTGACTTAGTGATGCTTAGAGCTAACCAACTGAAATCAACAGAATGCAAGTTAGTCATGACTAACTGAAGTCTCAGTGGCTACAGTTAGTCTACTCAAAGTACACCTAAGTCATATCGCCTACATTTTATTTATAACTGGTTTTGAGATGAGATCTGTGAATAGCAGAGTCCATTGATCTTACTGTTCCCAACTCTTCTCTACAAAAATAAATAAATGTTGCAGAGTAGGAAAATAACTGGTTTGCATGCAGAAGTTCTCATGTTCAATCCTTGACATTCTGAGACACTGACCTAGTACTCCGCTGCTCAGTGTTGACAATGCTGAACTAGATTGACCAGTGGACTGACTCGGTAGAAGGCTGTGTACACATATTATATTCTAGAATCCATGGAGACTAGATTTTTTATATATGCAGACTACACACAATCTAGATCTATTGCATACACCCACCCACCCCGAAAAGCGCTTCTTGAGAAACTGGTTTCATTCACTAAAGCTCATTACAGATTGATTCTGCATTAACCTGAAGTGTGTCCATTTGGAAACAGATGTAGGTGGTTTCAGCAACGGGTGGTGAATCCTCAGCTGCCCAATGAGGCTGTGGGTGGGTGAATGCCTAGAGCGCAATCACCACTTCCTTCTTCATTCGCCTGGGGCATGTGCAGACAGGAAAAGGGTGGATAATCTAATCAAGGGCAGGGTTTTCACAGGATCTCAAGTAACCACAACCACCCTTGTGGATGACAAGATCTAGAATCAATCTACATTAAAAGTAGCTTGTTGAGGACTATCACAAATGATTCTGGACTGAGAAAAAAACTGTATTTTTTGTGATACAAATGGAATAGTGTATACAGTGTCAGGCAGCTTCCTGTGTTCTTATGTTCACATTAATCCATCAAGATGTTTTCTAATAGAAGCTCCATTTAAATCCTAGAAGCTGCACAAGAGCTCAGCTGTGGGTTGTTCAGGAAAACATCCCTTAATCTGCAGTACTATCAGCTCTGTGATCAATAATATAGCCCCAAGATAGCTCAGTCTGCAGAGCATGAGACGCTTAATCTCAGGGTTGTGGGTTTGAACCCCACGTTGGGCAAAAAGATTCCTGCGTTGTGTTTAGTCTTTAGGGTAACTCAAAGCTATTTTTTGTGTGTTTGTATTATTGCATTTAGTGATGATAATGAACACAGCTTGAGTTGAAGAGGTGGATATGAAAGGATTATTTTCTGTTCCTTAAATTTAATTGCTATTTGCAATATAAGGTTATGGCTCTTGGCAAAACAGAAATATTACCCGATTATATAACAAGAACTGAGTGGATTTCTATTTGAGGTGCATAAAATGTCCTGAACACAACAACCAAAGAACTTTCTATATCATACGTCTTATGTGTGTGGCTTTCCTTTACTATTTCCTTCCTGCAAGAGCAACAACTACTAATTTTAGACCAACTTGCAATCTAGAGACTTATTTGTGTTTAGTGTCATTTTTCAGTTTCTAGGAAATCATGCGCCTGAGAGCCTTCAGATGTTAAATTTTCTAAAGTCAGCTAGATCCTCTCACTAAGTGCTAAATTAAGGTTGTGCGTTTTAGACATCTTGAAAGCTTTTTGATAGGTATGTGACTTGTCTTTTAAAGGGCCCATGAGTCAACTCTGTGGGGACTGTCCCAGTCCTGGCTCATACGTGTTATTTCAGCAACATGGTTGCCACTGCAAATTTGCTTCATCATGGCTGGCTCTTACCTCACAAAGGAATGTAGGAAAACTGCCTGTGCCACCTTCTGCCTTGACAGAGTCCACTGATGTTGGCCAGAGAGGGATCTATGTGATGAGGGTTCTGTTGTGAGGAACATTCATATGCTACCTTGGCAAAATGAGAATGAGTCACAAGGAACAGTTTTAAGCAATGGCTTAGCCAGCCTGCAGTAGGTACTCCATGTCTGCAGGGGTAGGGAACTCACGTCATTCCTGGCCATTGTCCATAATGTGTGGGGCTGATCAAAATGGTAAGTTTAGCAACACCTGGTGAGCCAAGGCCTCACCACACCTGCTATATTACTTATTTCTATATTTAATTTCTATCCCCACCTCCCTCCCAAAGGAGCTCAAGACAGCAAACACACCCACATTTTAATAGCAAAAAAAAATCATTTAAAACATTATTTTAAAAAACAGTTACAATTTAAAACATTATTTCATCCATTATTTCATGGCAGTATTCTGCAGCCACCAAATGCCTGGGTAAAGAGGAATGTTTTTCAAATTCCTCTGGAAAGTTAATGACGATGGAAGCAGAAACACCTCACTAGAGATGGAATTCCACAAACAAGGAACCACCATTGAAAAGGCCCCGTCATGGGTCAACGCCAACTGGGCAACTGTAGAAGAACAGGCGCTTGCAGCTGGAAAGGAATTGACCCCTATTAGAAACATATTTGATCAAGAGTTGGATAAACTGGGGGGGGGGGGAGCCTCATAATTAGATTCTTCCCCTTCTTGGTGGCATTGGAAACTGATACAACTATAGAGACAAGATGTCAGGTATGGTGGAATTGTAACCAAATAAAAATTTCTCCATGTCTTGATTTGGGTCACACTTATCTTGCTGTTCATCATAATTGTGAATAATTTTTCCTTCAGCAAGACTATAGGGATCTTGAGATATCTTTGCCTTTACCTGGCTTTGGCTCACTTGGGTTATCTGTAGTTACTTGCTGTGCAGTTGCTTGGCTGGAAACCCGGCAGTTGCAGCTGATGCAGTTGATAACCATGATAGGCTCATATGATATTTTGCCTTTCAGAAGAGGATTCACAAGATGGCATTCTGGTTTCATCTCAAGGTAAGAAAGTGGCATGAGAAAGTAATGCTATGGTTGCAATTGCAGCTGTTTTGTTTTTTAAATTGGACAATGAGAACTGAGAATGTTGAGGATACTTTGAGTTATTCTACTTGAAAATGCAGAATTTTGTCATGGTTGCAGAAATCTTATATTCAGTCCTAATAAGAAAGTCACTTTGCAACATTTTGAGGAAAGTAAGACATTATATCGGAAGAATCTTCATTCACAGCATTTAAGCAAGAGAGAAGTTCATCTGGTATTAAGGTCTGTTCTTGAATATCTTCATCTGAAAGTAGGGGCTTCCATTGGTTTTCTGTTGGTGTATGTGGCTCTTCATCTGTTGAGCTGACCATGTTGCTCTGTCCACTTTTACTGTTGTTCAAAACAAGACTGATTTTATCAAATAAAAATGTATTTTCATTGGTACCAACAATAGACCATGTGGTAGCCATGGGACTTGGGAAATCTTTTATTAAACTACTCACGGGCAGAGCTGGGGTGTTTGGTTTTTTATCTGGGCTTTGAGAATGTATTTCATAAGTACTGTCTTGTAAGACTGCTGGGCTGGAAATCTGAGGTTTGTAGCCATTTTCCTCCATCGTGTCCGAATTGCCAACAAACAGTATGTCTTCTGGAATGTTAACATTATCCAGAACTGCTTCTCTAGTTTCCTCTTTATGATCTACAACCTTATACTCCTTGTGTACCAGTGTCTCCTCCACTTCAGTTACGACAGCATCCTCATGATCGATGAACAACCCAGTGGAATTGTGTGTTATGCCACCATTTTCCCCCTAAGAAACAATTACAGGAAAAAATAATAAAATGTAGGCGAGGGGAGGTAGCAAACAGCTATTCAGTTTCAATATCTAGTCTAGAGCAATGAACACAGAAATAACACATTATAATAAAATAAATTGAGGCATCTGTAAAACTGATAGGAAACATGAATAAAAAGATAACTACATAAATGTTAAAATAAGGTTTGCATATGTGGGTACAGGCAAAATCTATGCAATGCAACTTGAACCAATCCATCTAAAGTTAAGTTGTGATTAACTTTATAGTTCCATTCTTCCCTCTCATGAGATGGGAATCTCCTGAGGGTGAATGCCTGGCTAGTTCTGTAGATAAGGTCTTATCCTAGGTCAGACTTGTCCATAACCTAGCCCACTATTGTCCACTCTGGCTGATAGCAGCTCTTCAGGATTACAGAGTTAAGGCTACTATATGGGCAAGAATTTCTTCGTTGCTTTTCTTTACTTGTTGTTTGATACTGAACTATTTCCCCTTTATGCTTTTAAGTCAGCAGTTAACAGAGTTGGTCCATTTTAATTACTGTAAGCCTTTGTTTATGCATAGAAAGAGAAGAGAGTATTCATACTTCAAAAGATTACTTTTTGTGATTTAAAGTTAAGGTTACACTTGAATGTAAGAATGAATAGCTATGGAACTAAGTTGAATAATGGGCGATGAATGCTGATAATAGTAGATCAAGTCATATATTATCTTGAGCAATTCCACATTCAGGTAAATTTGGATCTCCTAATCTGACAATTTTATGTTGCACTTGTAGCAAGGGGGAGGAGTGCAAAGTCCTGATCATGCCATGTAGAGAGATGAACATGAGAAGCAATAGCCAAATAGGCCCACAACATATTCTGAATGTAATGGTCATAAAATAAAGCATACAGGGCTGTTGTTGTTTTTAAAGTCATGCAAACATTTCTTCCTACAAATGCAAGGTGCCACCTTGCTTCACTCTAGTTTCTTTAGACACATTAAATAAATAGAATGTTGACTTGTGGAGTTACCTGAAGTGATTTGATCACACTGCTGTTCTGCACTCTAGGATAATCTTCAAAAAGCCATTTCGGTGTTATCGACCAAAATGCTGTTTTAACCCTTTTCAAAAAAAAAACACAACACATTGATTACATTTTGGAAGAACTGATCATGGTTCAAATTCATTATTGGATTGGAAATGCTTATGTAGTTTAGATAAGGTTGAGAGCAGAATTATATGTAATGGTTGCAGCTCCTTGACTTCAAATGCAGTTACCAAGAAACACAAGTGAAATGGGGTCTGGAATGATTTTGGTGCAATAGTGGCAAGCGACTAGGAGGAGCGCTGAACCCTTTCTCTGTTCTTCCAGAGCCCCTTCCCAGATCACTCCTCCACCCCCAGCACATTTCTCGTTGAGAGAAAAATAACTCTGATGAGGAGAATGGAGAAAATCTTTTGTCAAATATGTCATAGAATCTTTCTCTTGCCCACCACTTCTATGCATGAAGTTGCCTCACATCCTGCTTTTCAGTTGTTTTACACTTGAATACACAGCTTTGCCATCAATTTCAGCCTAACTGCAGTCAGATACTGCACTACAGCTAAGGACCAATCTTTCACCAGCCCTAAATAACTTTACAAATCAACTACAAAACCATCACCCTTGCCCTGCTTTAATAAGGGAAAATATGCACGCAAACAGGCACTGCACACACATTTTCCAAGGCTGAAAAGTTTGCTCGAAGGCTAAGGAGAAAAGTCTGGGGAAACACTTCACGCTTGTACCTCTTAATGTTTGTAGCAATCAAACTCAAAATAATTATAAATAAGAAGAACATTCCAAAGCCAGTTCCCCACAGAACACCACCATCATCACCATCACCTTAAAAAGAGAGAGAGAGAGAGAAATGATCAGCACTTTGATTTTACACCATATGTGTATTTAGAATTAGCTCAGGGTACACCTCACTTGCTGAATAAAAACAATTCATCATATCTTTATGATGCTTGACCAATTGCTTGTGAAGTTCAGATGTATATCATCACAGTGCTTTGTTCCTGCTTTTGCTGAACCTGCATCTTAGAAATGTGTCCTGTATAGACGACCATGTGCTTCTACTCATAGCTGTTCACATGATGCCATATCAACCACTGAATAGCTAAGCTGATGCACCGAGGAGGGCTTTTCAAATTGTCAAGGTTTCTTATAATGTATTTCAGTACAAGGTGCCACTGAAACTGGCTGGGAGCCTTATGCTTATTATGAAGCTTTGATTTGACCATGCTTGACAAATTTAATAGAGCTCATGAATATGATGGCAATGGCACTTGGTACTCAAGATACACATTGTTAGCCTTTCTTATCTTTAGCAGAGTGATAAAGATGCTTAACTAGAGAATTGTGTTTCCTTGGCAAACTGGATAGTAGCATAATTAGATCCACAGTTGACAAATCAAGTCTTGAGTAAATTCTGAGAGGTATCATGCCAGTTTGATGGAATGTGAGATACTGTATGGAGCAAGATAGCAATTGGTGATGGCAGATTATGTTTCCTGAAGAGCAAACACGTCATCTCACCCCTGTTGTTTTATGTACACCAAATCTCCTCTGTGTGCCTTTAGCCACTCAACTGACAATTTTAAAAATCAACCATTAAAAGTTCATATGAGTATTTTCATATTGTATATTCAACCCAGGATGTCTCTGGATTGAGAATAATTTGAGTTAGCTCTTTTATGTGTGAAAACACCCTGAACTTTCATTTCCCTATAATCACGTCAGTGAATGCTTCACTCAGTTCCCACCTCTTTGAGATGTTATCACTGGCTGGTGTAAAAAAAACAACAACCCAACAACCAAAAAAACCCTCCCAAATCTGGTAACACAGAAAACCTCTCTTCTGGAAACCTGACACAGAGACATTTCCTACCGTTGGTAACTGCAAACATATTTCCTGGATCATTATATGTGTCTTGAGTTTTCCCCGGCAATGCTATTCAGAGAACGGGAGAAAGAAAAGCAAAAAAGGAGAATGACTTCCACTGTGGTACAACAGCAAGTGTAGTGAATACTTTGTTCCCTTGTATTGCGATTAGTTTACCAAAAGCACTTTTTCCAAGGGATGAAACCCTTCAGTGCTTTCATTTAAACTGCAATTTGTATTTACTGGTTGTTGGATGAATACTCTCAAAGTTGCAATTGGTGAAAATATGTCGCTCCTGTGAACAAGGATCATAGGTAACTTCCATAAAGCGAGGAATTCATCTAGTTCATGCAACACAATATTTGCCTACACCACTGTGAGAAGCTCTGACCCCTCCACGTGCTATTGGACTACAACTCCCATGATCTCTAACCACTGGCCAGGGTATTCACTGGCAGGCAGCAACTCCCCATGATTTCCCAATTCTACCTGGAGAGGTTGAGGATTGAACCTAGGACTTCTCACATGCAAAGCGTGTGTGTCATCACGGAGTTACGCTCCCCTTGCGGGACTGTATCTCTCCTAAAACTCAGCCTTAGGATCCAGCCAACATATCTTTTGTAGTGTAGTGTGTGGGGGGGTATTGTCTACATTCATTCAGCAGCTCTGTCAGTTTGGGGTTTCTTCGTGTCCCACTGGCCTCCAGGTTTGAGGAGGTCCAGGGTAAAGTATCCTCGTCTAGTGCCGCCCTTCTTTGTCAGTACTAGGCTTACTTGACTGTAGTGCGAAACAGCTGCATCTAGCCACTCTTTCCATTTCCCGCAATGCCCCTGAGTGATGCCAGGTTGAGGTCATTCTGCGAAATTGAAAAGGTGGCTTGATCCAAATGCTTTGCATTGCTCAAAGTGCTCTGCCAGCATGCGGGGGCAGGGGAGGAGATGTAAGGGCACTGAGACCTTAGCAGCTGCCTAAGGATACCAGGTGCCGACACTGGCTCTGCCAAAAAGAGTTGTTTGTTGGTAGCCATCCTGGTAGGATCTGTAATTGAATTAAATGAAATTACATGTACTGGTGTCAACTCTCGTGTAGAAAGTATTATTATTTATCTATTTTGATAGAGTGCTTGTGCATTCCAGACAATACAATCGGATTTCCTAAGCTTATTAATGTTTTAAAAACAACAAAAATCTTCTTCTTCTTCTTCTTCTGATAAAATGTTTTATTCATAGGCATACTTTAACCAGTTTAGCTAACTAAATCTATTGCAACTTAACTGATTAATCAACAAATATTTCTGTAGTTGGATGACATGTCTAGTAAACCCACCCACACCTGCTGCAAACTCTGCAATAGCTGGCAATGGGAACTGCATGTGTATGTCTCTAGAATCATAGAATCATAGAATCATAGAGTTGGAAGAGACCACAAGGGCCATCGAGTCCAACCCCCTGCCAAGCAGGAAACACCATCAGAGCACTCCTGACATATGGTTGTCAAGCCTCTGCTTAAAGACCTCCAAAGAAGGAGACTCCACTACACTCCTTGGCAGTAAATTCCACTGTCAAACAGCTCTTACTGTCAGGAAGTTCTTCCTAATGTTTAGGTGGAATCTTCTTTCTTGTAGTTTGGATCCATTGCTCCGTGTCCGCTTCTCTGGAGCAGCAGAAAACAACCTTTCTCCCTCCTCTATGTGACATCCTTTTATATATTTGAACATGGCTATCATATCACCCCTTAACCTCCTCTTCTCCAGGCTAAACATGCCCAGCTCCCTTAGCCATTCCTTAGGCATCGTTTCCAGGCCTTTGACCATTTTGGTTGCCTTCCTCTGGACACGTTCCAGTTTGTCAGTGTCCTTCTTGAACTGTGGTGCCCAGAACTGGACACAGTACTCCAGGTGAGGTCTGACCAGAGCAGAATACAGTGGCACTATTACTTCCCTTGATCTAGATGCTATACTCCTATTGATGCAGCCCAAAATTGCATTGGCTTTTTAGCTGCCGCGTCACACTGTTGGCTCATGTCAAGTTTGTGGTCAACCAAGACTCCTAGATCCTTTTCACATGTACTGCTCTCAAGCCAGGTGTCCCCCATCTTGTATTTGTGCCTCTCATTTTTTTGCCCAAGTGCAATACTTTACATTTCTCCTGTTAAAATTCATCTTGTTTGTTTTGGCCCAGTTCTCTAATCTGTCAAGGTCGTTTTGAAGTGTGATCCTGTCCTCTGGGGTGTTAGCCACCCCTCCCAGTTTGGTGTCATCTGCAAATTTGATCAGGATGCCCTTGAGTCCATCATCCAAGTCGTTGATAAAGATGTTGAATAAGACCGGGCCCAAGACAGAACCCTGTGGCACCCCACTAGTCACTCTTCTCCAGGATGAAGAGGAACCATTGATGAGCACCCTTTGGGTTCGGTCAGTCAGCCAGTTACAAATCCACTGAGTGGATCACTCACTCTGGATCACTGCCATTTTATTTAGGGGTGTTAAGTTTACATTCCTTTGATCTAGGGACTTAATAGCAGCTGGTTCAGCTTTACCATGAAGCAGTGTGCAGCAGTTCTTCAGGAAGCGCATTCCAGAGGGTGTGCTATTTTCTTTGTAGCATTAGAAAAATAAGAGAGCTCCAGTTCAAAAAAGGGAAAGTGTCATTTTGACTTTTCCTTTTTCTAGTGAAAATATTACTAGCACCAGCAGCAAATAGTAGAATGATTAGATATTCACCCTCACCAGTCTAAAAGAATGCATTTGTTTTCTTTATAGCTCCACATTTCTGCAGGAGTGAATGGGCCAAAATGTCATTTGTGATAGAAATACAGAATGGGCATCGTGCTCCAGTATGCTTAAGAAATGGAGATTTTGTTCAAACAACAGAACTATATGTAGGTAACGGCAGTAGCCCTAAAATAGTTACTGTACGTATTATAATTTTTCATTAAACACTGCCGCCTTGTGGTCTTTGGAGCCACAGCAAATTCTAACAAAAAAATGCAATATGATGTGGCAGTAAAAGGAAATTATTAGAGTAACTGGGATGTTGCCGCTATTAACCCTGTGGTGTAATTTCTAAATTTAGTTAGAGCTTTAGAGAAGCAATCTCAGGAACATGTTTTCTGCAAGGGTTTTAGTATGTATGAAATATTCATCATTTTTGGCTGGAGTTATGGATTTGCCAAGGAACCCGTGCAATTCCTGCATCTTCGTGTTCAGAAAACTTCCAGCTCTTGGTTTTCTGCCTGCTACATTGAGATTACCCCTAAAGATAAGGTCCCTTCAGACACTCCTGGGTGTTATGGTCAGCAGAGGGGGCCCTCTTGGTAGCCTCAGAAGTTTGGGTTGTGGTGGCCCAGGAGAGTGCATTTTCTGTGGCAGCCCCTAAGTTGTGGAATTCCCTCCCTGTAGAGGTGTATCTGGCTTCCTCACAATACAGCTTTCACTAAATGCTGAAAACGCACCTCTTTACCCTTTGTGCTTTCAGGGCCACCCTGTTCTTGTGATTGTAATCTGCCTTAACTGTTTTTAATTTTCAGCTGTTTTAAACTGTCCTGGGACCTACTGATGAAGGGCAGATAATAAATTTAATAATATTAAACCCATCTGGCTGGATTTCCCCGGTCACTCTGGGAGGCTTCCAGGACATATAAAAAACATAATAAAATTATTATTACTAATATTATTGAGGATACAGGGGTTGGATCTGTATGTAAGAGCACAGTAATACACCTTGATAGACAGAAGGGCCCCCTGATTCAGCAGTTAAAGCCTGTGTATTACTTTGAATGAAATCCAGTAACACTTTACATAATTGTGGTACAGTATCTACTATTTCACAATAATCTGCTTAATCAAGGCTGGGCATAAAAGTCATTCCAGCAAACTTATTACTTTTCATTGTCCTTGGCAAATTCGCCTTAATTCCTATCAAGGCCTTATTATTCATGGTGTAGAACTGCTTTGGTTATCTAACAGTCTTATACTGCATCTCTGATGGAAGAACTTTAAAATCATCAAAGGATGTAATACAACTAAAGGGAAGTTAACAGAAATGAGCAAGAATGTCTGATTTAGTATGTTTCTTCTAATTATGTGAAAGTCATGCTTATCTTTAGTTTTTTCCTGTACGTACGCAGGTGAATCAGGGCCAGTTGCTGCTCTCTCTGACATATATACACACAGTGGACATGAAAGATTAGTATGGCTCTCTACAGAGTAATATAGGTACATACAGCAAACAAATGTGTGTACTGTACATTATTTATGAAACATGTCCTCATCCACACCTTTTAAGGAAATGTTTAATTCCAGTTAATGCCCCGAAACTATCTTATTCCAGTTTGAATAAGATAATTACCATATATACATAAACACATTGAAAAATATTTTTTAGTCAGGGAGATATGACCATTCCATAGAGGAAGTTTAGCTCAAACACAGCACACTATGAAATAGTGCCAGTCCCCTTACAATGGCCCCAATGGTACTTACTCGGGATGGAACAGGCCTTGCTGATGCCATCTTGATACACAGCATACACTGAAATGTTGAAGTTATGCCCCATTCTGACATTTTCTGTAAGGATGAGGTTTTATTCATTTATTTTAATAATGAAAATAAGTTCTACTGTATAATTTTTAAAAAAGGAATCATGAGTAAAAGTTCAGAAATAAGAACCAATGAATTCTAATCCCATGATTTTGTTCTGACTTCTTGGGGAAGGGTGGGGGAGCAGACAGTCATTTTAAAATGTTTTATCACATTTGTATCCCTTTCTCCACATAAGCAGCTCAGGTGGCTCAATGTGGGTTTCTTATATTTTGTTCCCACAGTAGCTCTATTTGTCCATGTTGATTTTGGTAGTCTTTGCTAAGTTTGCTTGTAGGTTTGGTATGTTTGTTGTCTTTTGGATTTTAAACTAGATTTCCTCCGCAAAAGATGCTTTCTTGGTGACCAAGGGTGAGGAAAACAGATTTCACTAAAAGTGATTCTTCATGTTTGCAAAATCTGCTCCTGGGGTAGCAAACCTGGTGCCCTCCAGATGTTGTTGGACAACAGCTTCCATCATCCTTGAGTATAAGCTAGGTTGTCTGGGACTGATGGGAGTTGTTGTCTGAGAGCATCTGCAGGGCACCATGTTGGCTGTTCCTGAGCGGCTCAATTATTCTGGGTTTAAGAAGCTATGCATGTCATCAGCCCAACATATCATGAAGGTCACTAAAAAGAGTTGGCGTGTATTTTACCTTTGATATATGTTGTTGTGTTTTGGATGGGGACTTTTTTCCACACAAGTCCATGTCTGAAATCTGCAGACGTCCATTCCACTATGTACCACAAAACTACTTTTCCAATGGGTTGGGGAGGTTTCCATACAAGAGAAATCCCTTTCTGTTCATCGCGGTTCATTTGCATGTTGGTAGGTGGTGGGAAATCTACAGGGGAAAGCAGCAGGGATGACTTGACTGTTGTCTAAAATCTAGCCAAATATTTGAAATAGTTTTGCAATAGGAAGAAGGTGCCCTTGAAATGAATGAAGGGTGTATTGACGGGGAGCATACAGTGGAGTGCGGCTTCTTCATCTCTATCTGGCACACTGGAAATTAACCAAGTGAGGATATGGACCTTTTCTTTAAGCTAAGTGCATACACTAGAAAGATCAATGTCAATAAGGATCAAGGAAATTGTACAACTGGAGGGAAAGAACCCAGAGAAACATTTTCCCTCCTCCTCCTGCAAGCTACCTGTCAGCTGTTATACTCATCCACCAATGGGCAAAAGAGGGCCTGGGACCCTTGCCTGTGATGTCATCCAAATATGACCACATTCCTCTCCTCAAATTCTGATCTGCTGTTCCTGCAGCAGCAAGATAAGACAAATGCCTTCATATACACACATGCATTCCAGAGAAGCTCATCAAAGCGATGGACATTTTGCAAGTATAATATATTTACCACTTGCTGCAGTTGCTGAATGATTAATAATAATAATAATAATAATAATACCTTTATTGTCAATGTACAACCTGTGTACAATGAAATTAACCGAGCCTCCCTCCCCCACCCACAAACACTCAGTCTCATTGCACTCTGTGTGCTTGTCGCACAACACACCAGCCCCGAAAGTCAGTAGCACTATATTATTTTCTGTTCAGCAGCCTAACAGCCCACGGATAGAAACTGTTTTTTAGCCTGTTGGTATGACTGATTATACTTCTATATCTCCTGCTAGAGGGTAGAAGATTAAAGAGGTGCTGGCTGGGGTGTGAATCGCCCCTGAGAATCAGCCCAGAGAGTAAACTTGGGCACCTGTGTTAAGCACCTGTGTTCTCAACATTTCTAGGCCAACCTACAACCCAAGTGGATGGTGGTAAAGAGCTATAATTTTGATAAGGTCCTCTTCTAGCATCACATAGTTAACTGGAATAAAATTTCCGTTGCTCCTCAGGGATTGTTGTACTGAGCTGGACTCTCTAGGAACCATCAATTTCTAAGGAAGCGGAACAGCCAGAAGCATCCTGTGAAGCTAGAAAGGAGAAGCTTCTCCAAAACCAGGACAGAACTGTGGAATTGCAATACTAGCTTTCTCTCTCATGTTGAGAGAGCGGAAATGACAAAAATATTGTCGTGATTATTCTACAGGATCCATCTAGGAGTGCAATCCCGTGTCCATCTACGTAGGCATAAACCCCTCTGGCATTAATGGGACCGCAAAGGTGTATTTCTCAGATTGTCATTCACCTAGGGTGACCAGATGGAAAAGAGAACAGGGATCCTGCATCTTTTGTACAGAAGAGGGAATTTCAGCAAGTGTAGCTTGTCATACAGCAGAGGCGGATTGAGGGCAACATGGCTGGTTCTCTTTGCACTGATTGTCCAGCGAAGAGAACACCTGTAAGCAGTTGCCCAGCCATGGGAAGGAGATGTGAGGGCTCTGACAGCTTTCTAGGGTCCTAGAGTCCTCTGTTCTCCTTTCCAAAGCCTAGTTAGTGCTTGCCCAGTTTGGGGAGGAGGTGGGAGGGCTGTAGGACCCTGCTGGAGACATCACACCTCTTTCCCAAAGCCCAGCATGTCTGAGGGCTGAGGAGAGGCACCAACTTTTGGCGTAGCTCAGGGCGCCATAGTACCAAAGTTCATCCCTACCTATAGCTGTATCTGCTGAAATCCCCTCTTTTGCACAGCACACCAGGAATCAAGTCCTCTTTCGCATCTATATATTCTTTATGAATTCCAACTCATTTAAAACTTGATAATAGTCATTCCCATATTGTCCTCAGTTGTTGTTTTTAATAGTCATGATGGCTAAGACATAATTTTAAAATGGAATTTGATATTTTTAGATGTCAGCTTTTTGCTTTATCTTTCATACTTTTGCTGAAATGGAATACTTATCTGGTTTGGCATCTCCAAAACTGGCATTGTAGTAATGGATGAAAGTGGTCCTGTTTGTGTGTTAATACATTATGCTTCCAAAGGGAGCAAACTAGAAGTCAAGTTAGTTATATAGTTGGGGGGGGGGGTCTGAATGTTGGGAAATCATAGGGTCAATTTCTTCTCTGACACAATTTAACAATGCATTATCCATTTCTCAAAAGTTTTTAAGTACTGTACTGCTTTTATCTTACCATGGAAACTGTGGGGAGGTTGGTTCACTGTAATATTCGCAGCTTTGGAACTTCCTTTTGAATTATGTGCTGTCACATGGAGAGTGGTAACTGCTGGGGGAACCAAAACTTGGCATTTTGTTTCTGTTGTTTTACATAAATCCACAATTTCTCCTTGGTTTTCACAGAACACCCTGTAGCCCAAAATTCTTCCTCTGCTCTCCTTAGGAAAAAATGGCTGGGATGTGGGAAGGAAGAGAAGGAAGAGAAAGCAAGATAATTGCCTTTAGAAAGCTGCATTGTGGGGTTTTTTTGGGGGGGGGGGTTCATGCAGTTTCACATGCACAGCAGCTAAGGGGAAAATGTGATTAAACCTGCATTTCCTTAGCTGCTTGCCAACCACTGCAACAGAAGCCACTGCAAAGAAGAGCCTCACTGTTTGAGGTCACCAGGAGTTGGGAAAGCAGCTGGGGGAAGGCTTGCTTAACTCTTTACCTGCTGCTTCACCTCTTCAAGTTGTCCCCTCCCCAGCTATTTTTCCTTATTTAAATAAATTCTTTGAATCAAGTAAGAAAGTGGCATTGCTAATGTTTCCTGTATGCAGTTGTGTATTTTTCCCAGCCTTTAAAGTGATGTTATTGAGTCAAAATACAACCCCATGGCAGATTCTTCCCAGTATTGGCCCCAGCTGAAGAAACTGCCTTATATTTTTAACACCTTTCTGAATTCTAGACCTTATGAAAATAAGACCACCCTGGACTCTCTTAACCTGCAATGTGTTCAGTCTAGAAAGGAGGAAAATATCACCTTGATTAAGATGACCACCTCTTGGCTACCATTCGGGTAAGTTGGCCCCAGAAACCTCCACACATCGAGTATAGAAGAAGGTTCTGCAGATAAACAAAAAAAATGCAAAAAAATAAATAAATCTGAATATGAGGGGGGTTTCGCCCACTGACTTTCAATTTAAATCATGATAAAAATTCTGACTTGGTCTGTTACTTGTTGTTTTGGTCTAGCATATATATAAAAGAGCAAAGGCATCTATTGCAAAATCCTAACTGTGAACATTTGGAGCTAATGAGATGTTTTCTGTGTGTATGGTGATCTACAGCAGTGTGGGAAATAAAGACTAGAGGTTGCCACTAGACCATCCTATTTGGCAGAAAAGCGCAGGCTCTACTAAGAAAAGAAAAATCAAATAGTACAGCGCTAAAAACATAAAAACTAACAAGAAAGAATATTTAAATACATTAGAATCAGGAAAGAGTTGCACCACTAGTAGGTGCAAATGTGTTCTTTATTTTATCTCTATCCACATCTATATGTAGATTTATTAGAATCAGGTATGGGGAAGTCGTGATGGTCTATTTTGTTACTAAAGAAATCTCACTAAAGACTCCCCCCCCCCCCAAAAAATCTGCAATTTAAGGGCACTTCAGTCACATGTGTTTATAGGTGGTGATTCCTTAGCACCCACTCAAACACATGGGTGAATTGCCTTGGCTGTATGAAAGACCTGTCTCAAGGTAATATACCAGCCATAGGCCACTTTTTTGTGAAAGTTCCCTTGTCTGAGCTGACAATGACTTGTAAGGAGCTTAGCCCATAAACAGGTGTGTACCTGGAGGTGGGTACAGCTGACAAGGTTGGCCCTTGCCAAGGGTGTAGGGACAGGGTGTGTGTGCAAAAGCTGCACATCTCCACTCAGGCTTGGAGTGGCTAGGAGCTTGCCTGCCTTCCCGCATGCTCCCAGGCCCACTCCTCTGCTGCCCTGGGCAACCAACATCTCCTTGCCAAGGGCGCAAGGGAGCCTAGTTATGCCTCTGCCCATAACCCAGTCTCTCAGTCTGCTTCCAATGGGGCATTATCAGGCTCTTATCCAGAATTCAGGATCACTAGTAGTCTCTACTGCTAAGCCACATTATATTCCAAGAATACAGCTTTGCTTCTTAGTGAGTTAGGCTTTTGAACTCCTCACTTCCTCAGGCCAGGCTGACCCTAACCATTAGGCATAGTGAGGCAACCACCTGAGGCAATTTTTAGGTGTTCTGAAAGAGCAGGATATTGCTAGTTATTAATTTATTATGACTGTGCCGGGTAGGAAGAGAGACATGTGTGAGATAATTTGCCTCATCTACTAGAATAACATAACCACCATTAGATAAAACACACCTTGACTTAGATTATTTGGGCACTAATTGTTGGTCACCTTCAGAAAGTCCCCAAAGCCAGCTAAGTTATTCTGGCGCCTGAGGTAGAAAATTCCTCAAGCACCTCTCCCACCTACCAGGCAGTAAAAATATAAAATGAAAATCCACTGCTGCCTTTTCATGGCACACAAAACCAGCTGCAATGAGGTAGTCTCACTCTGCCTAATTAATGATGCAACTGAGCTTCAGATAGCAAAGCATCTTGGGTCAGCCCTGATTCAGGCAACAATACTGTGGCTAATTATTTGACAAAACGACAAGTAATCACTAGTTGGCAGACTATGCCCACAAGTTTTGGCTGAAACAGAAATAGGTTCTGCTGAGAGCCCAAAGACTTCCATGAATTTTAACAGCTAACAAATTCAAGAGGTGCAGCTTTTCTCTAGGGGAGTGAGGAGAATGGCTTCAGCTGATGCATGCCTCCCTGCCATGTATTAAAGGTGCAGCAAGAGGTAGTAAAAAGGGGAGGCTTATTCCTGAAAGCCAGCCATTTCCCCCTCAAAAATGGATGAAGCACTTGGTAAGTTCTTTGTACTATTCTTTTGTTTTGCCAGCAGGGGTCACTACTACTATTTGTACTAAAACAACTTATTGTGATA